GAGAGAAGGGCGGATGAGAGGAAGGGAGGATGAGAGGAAAGGAGGATGAGATGAAGGGAGGATGAGAGGATGGGCGGATGAGAGGAAGGGCGGATGAGGGGGAGGTCGGAAGAAGGGGAGGGAGGACGAGAGGAAGGGAGGACGAGAGGAAGGGCGGATGAGAGGGAGAGAGGATGAGAGGTAGAGAGGATGAGAGAGAGAAGGGCGGATGAGAGGAAGGGAGGATGAGAGGAAAGGAGGATGAGATGAAGGGAGGATGAGAGGATGGGCGGATGAGAGGAAGGGCGGATGAGGGGGAGGTCGGAAGAAGGGGAGGGAGGACGAGAGGAAGGGAGGACGAGAGGAAGGGCGGATGAAAGGGCGGGAGGATGAGAGAGAGAAGGGCGGATGAGAGGAAGGGAGGATGAGAGGAAAGGAGGATGAGATGAAGGGAGGATGAGAGGATGGGCGGATGAGAGGAAGGGCGGATGAGGGGGAGGTCGGAAGAAGGGGAGGGAGGACGAGAGGAAGGGAGGACGAGCGGAAGGGCGGATGAAAGGGCGGGAGGATGAGAGAGAGAAGGGCGGATGAGAGGAAGGGCGGATGAGAGGAAGGGAGGATGAGAGGAAGGGCGGATGAGAGGAAGGGCGGACGAGAGGAAGGGAGGACGAGAGGAAGGGTGGATGAGAGGAGAGGAGGATGAGAGGAAGGGAGGTTTGGAGGAAGGGCGGATAAGAGGAAGGGAGGATAAGATGAAGGGAGGATGAGAGGATGGGTGGATGAGAGGAAGGGAGGATGAGAGGATGGGTGGATGAGAGGAAGGGCGGATGAGGGGGAGGGCGGAAGAAGGGGGGGGGAGGACGAGAGGAAGGGAGGACGAGAGGAAGGGCGGATGAGAGGGCGGGAGGATGAGAGGTAGAGAGGATGAGAGAGAGAAGGGCGGATGAGAGGAAGGGAGGATGAGAGGAAAGGAGGATGAGATGAAGGGAGGATGAGAGGGAGGGCGGATGAGAGGGAGAGAGGATGAGAGGAGAGGAGGATGAGAGGAAGGGAGGATGAGAGGAAGGGAGGATGAGAGGATGGGTGGATTTCATGAAGGGAGGATGAGATGGAGAGAGGATGAGAGGGAGAGAGGATGAGAGGGCGAGCCCTTGAGAGAAGGGCGGATGAGAGGGCGGGAGGATGAGAGAGAGAAGGGCGGATGAGAGGAAGGGAGGATGAGAGGAAGAGAGGATGTGAGGAAGGGTAGGATGAGAGGAGAGGAGGATGAGAGGAAGGGAGGATGAGAGTATGGGTGGATGAGATGAAGGGAGGATGAGATGAAGGGAGGATGAGAGGGAGGGCGGATGAGAGGGCGAGAGGATGAGAGAAGGGCGGATGAGAGGGCGGGAGGATGAGAGGAAAGGAGGATGAGAGGAAGGGCGGATAAGAGGAAGGGAGGATGAGATGAAGGGAGGATGAGAGGGAGGGCGGATGAGGGGGAGGGCGGAAGACGGGGAGGGAGGACGAGAGGAAGGAAGGTCGAGACGCAGGGCGGATGAGAGGGAGAGAGGATGAGAGGGAGACAGGATGAGAGAAGGGAGGATGAGAGGAAGGGTGGATGAGAGGAAAGGAGGATGAGAGGAAGGGCGGATAAGAGGAAGGGAGGATGAGATGAAGGGAGGATGAGAGGATGGAGAGGTGGAGGAAGGGCGGATGAGGGGGAGGGAGGACTCGAGGGAAATGAGTGCGACGGGAAGGGAAATGAGGGCGACGGGAAGGGTAATGTTTGCGACGGGAAGGGTAATGGGGGGTGACGGGAAGGGAAATGAGGGCGACGGGAAGGGAAATGAGTGCGACGGGAAGGGAAATGAGGGCGACGGGACGGGAAATGAGGGCGACGGGAAGGGAAATAAGTGCGCCGGGTCGGGAAATGAGTGCGACGGGAGGGGAATTGAGGGCGACGGGAAGGGAAATGGGGGCGTCGGGAAGGGAAATGAGGGCGACGGGAAGGGAAACGAGGGCGACGGGACGGGAAATGAGGGCGACGGGAAGATGGAATGAGGGCGACGGGAAGATGGAATGAGGGCGACGGGAAGATGGAATGAGGGCGACGGGAAGATGGAATGAGGGCGACGGGAAGATGGAATGAGGGCGACGGGAAGATGGAATGAGGGCGACGGGAAGATGGAATGAGGGCGACGGGAAGATGGAATGAGGGCGACGGGAAGATGGAATGAGGGCGACGTGAAGATGGAATGAGGGCGACGGGAAGATGGAATGAGGGCGACGGGAAGATGGAATGAGGGCGACGGGAAGATGGAATGAGGGCGACGGGAAGATGGAATGAGGGCGACGGGAAGATGGAATGTGGGCGACGGGAAGATGAAATGAGGGCGACGGGAAGATGGAATGAGGGCGACGGGAAGATGGAATGAGGGCGACGGGAAGATGGAATGAGGGCGACGGGAAGATGGAATGTGGGCGACGGGAAGATGGAATGTGGGCGACGGGAAGATGGAATGAGGGCGACGGGAAGATGGAATGTGGGCGACGGGAAGATGGAATGAGGGCGACGGGAAGATGGAATGTGGGCGACGGGAAGATGGAATGAGGGCGACGGGAAGATGGAATGAGGGCGACGGGAAGATGGAATGAGGGCGACGGGAAGATGGAATGAGGGCGACGGGAAGATGGAATGAGGGCGACGGGAAGATGGAATGAGGGCGACGGGAAGATGGAATGAGGGCGACGGGAAGATGGAATGAGGGCGACGGGAAGATGGAATGAGGGCGACGGGAAGATGGAATGAGGGCGACGGGAAGATGGAATGAGGGCGACGGGAAGCTTCTCACCATGCGATATGTGAAAGGCAGGCGCGACCAAATGGCGGGGAGGGGATTTCCCGGGCAGGGCGGGAGGCAAGATGCTGAGGCTGTCTCTAGCGCGTTTGTTTCTAATCGGCTCCGACGCGCGGCGTAAGATGGCTACGCATTGCAGACGATGGATACGTCCGCCCTGTGACCTATGGGAAGCGAGCGTGGTCGAGTGTTTGTGTATTAGCCTATACTTTTTGACTCTCTGAATAAATCGCCAGTTCAGGCCTCGATGTGTCTCGCTAACTCACGCCCGCACTGGCATTTAGTAACAGCCTCCTCTATCCTCACCCTAAGCATCGCACTTTGCTGGTCCAGTCCACACGGACATTCGCTCCCTACGGCTATTCCGCGTATTTCTAGAATCTAAGGTGGCGCCCTGCTGAAGTGGACTAAGCAACTAATATGTTTGTTCGAGTGCATGTGTGGCTGCTCAAACTGTGCACAGTTTCCCTGGCACGTTGCTTCTCAGGTTTGTCGAGTTTGGGAAGAAGGGCCCTGCCTGCTTTTTACAACCAATCAGCATGTAGGGAGTTTGTGGCGAACTACTTTCAGTCGCAAAGTGTTTTTGAGGCTTCGCCTGTCACTCAACCCATCCGAACCTCCAACTGGCAGCACGCCGAACCTAGAAATACTCAGTTGACTTCCGTTGAGTAATTCAGGTCTTGGGCTTTAACGCTCGAGGAGCTTGTCGGCCGAGAATGACATCCATTGCTTGCGTGGAATGGAGCCACTTTCTAGTCAAGAAGCAGCCAGAATCTTCTCCCACCTGAAGTTGTCAAGGGGTGGACCAGTAGACTCCCTGCTGTTGTGGGCGCGCTAACAGGTACAGAAAGATGACAACTACACTAAGAAAAATAGATGTAAGAAACAATGCGAATGGAGGTGCACAAATAGGGGCAGATGGAGGCGACACTCTCCATAGCACAGAGTTACATGTAATTTAAGGGAAAATATTCGATAAACGCAGGTGATATTTTCAGAAGAAATCCATTAACGATACCTTAATAAGAAAAACCTAATACACAAATATACTCATGGATTAATTCGGATTTTTTAACCCAAAACATGATCTAAATCTAAAAACTGCGGCTCCCTGAATGGGATTAAAAACTGGGAGTGAAAGATGTGCAATCTTGTGAGCAAACTTCTATGTTAAAAATAAACGGTGGCTGTATGTAGAAACTTACTGCGTTTGTGGAATTATTGAAGTCTCTCTCTGTTTCGTTGGCCTGGACACGAAATCCATCGGATTGGTTGAGACGAAATTATTTGCGGCTCGAATAAAACTACGGGGCGCTCCTGGCTGACGTATGCTGCCACCACCTTCTTCCAATCAGGTGAATAGTTGTTTTGGAACGTGTAGTTTTGGAAATTCCAAAGGCTGGAACGCGGTCTGGTGACTGCCACACCAACCTTGGGAATTTGGAGCTGGTTGCGGAGGAAGGGAGGAGCAGCAATCCTGACCGTCGACTGATTGGGAACGCGTAACATCTTCGGCTGAGCGGAATGTGGGGCGTCAGGGTGGAAGGGCTCGAAATGGGGTAGAGATCGAGGGTTGTGGATGGATAGTCTGGTCCTCCCACATCAGCAAGTGCGCGTCGGCCATCTGCGATTATTCTTTCCGTAGATCGAGAACCACCAAACTCTAGTAGAGTTAATTTTAGAGTGAAGGAATACTCTTTTTCATCGTGGAAGGTCTCGGCCTGTAAGACGCGTCACCTAAATGGGAAGGTGTGTGACGAAGGCAGGTCGCACCGTCGTTTGTGCACAAGGACGAGGTAGATTTCTCAGCCGGACTTGGATCAGACGAATCGAAGGTTGCCAGGTGGAATGTCTAGAACCCCGTTCGCTCACCTTCGCGTTCCTGGTACCTAAGGAAATGTTATCCGCTGATCAAGTCCCTTTCTTTGATCTAATCACACGCACGGTGCTATCAACAATGGCTCCGACACGCATTCTTCGTGTTGATCTCGAATCCTCGAATGTTCCAAGACTCTGCCTTCGCAAATCTTTGAAGTTCTCAACTCGCGGGTAGCCTATTAACTTAAGGATCTTACATGAAATGACCGCGGTCGTCTGCAGTCATGTTGATCCTATCACTTAGTTCTTAAAATGTCTTGTCTCACCCTGTTACTAAGACCCTAGAATGTAGTATCTCTAAGAATGAGCAACCCCCTTAAGAATGAAGAGGCCAAGGCTACTAATTCGCCACCTAGCCCTTCCGATTACGACGCGTACCGCGCGGAAGCAGATCTAGTGGATTCGCAGAACAATCTAGTGCTAGCGCGTCGCGATGACCAAGCAGAGCAGCAGGAGACGCAGGGAGACGTTAGGAGGACGGTCGATCGGAGGACTCGGTCGCTATACTCGCAGGAAGGCGACGGTGAGGTGGCGGAAAGGGCAGCGGCGGACGTCAGTGGAAGCGAGGGGGGATCGAGAAGAGAGGAGCTGCGACTTGGGGGTAGAGAGAGCCTTGATTTGAACTCATGGCTCGTGAGCAGTATAGGCCCAGCCCCCCCTGCTGCTGCTCCTGGTGCCGCTGCTGCTGCGAATCTGGCTGCTGCTGTTGCTGCTGCTGCTGTTGCTGCAGCGCCTCCTGCTGCTATGTCACGTGCTCTTGAGTTAGCGGTACCTCTAGGGTCTGATGTCGCTTCGATTTTTGCCGCCGCTGCGGGTTCTGCTGCTTATTCCGGATTTGCTGCTTCTCTTGCTGCTTCTCCCCGGTTTGCTGCTGCTCCGGCTGCTTCTGCCGGGTTTGCCGCTGCTCCGGTTGCTTCTCCCCTAATTGCTGCTGCTCCGGCTGCTTCTGCCGGGTTTGCTGCCGCTCCCGCGTTACCTGCTCCTTTAAGCAGAGGTTCTCCCTCTGTTGCTCGTCCCGATTCAGCGGCTGCCGAGGCAGGAGATAGCGGTGTAGTACGGGGAGAGAGTAGGAAGCGTCGGCGAGAAACGGTAGAGAGCGGTGGCGTTCATCCGAGGGGGGGAACTGAGCGGAACAGAGGAGGTGAGGGAAGCGGAGGAGGTGGGGGGAGCGGAGGAGGTGGAGGGAGCGGAAGGGGTGAGGGGAGCGAGGGGGCGGAGGGGATGGGTCGCGCGGAGCAGGGCGGCGGCAGCGGAGGGTGGCGATTGGCGGATCTGAGCGACGAGGACCTGCAGCAACTCACGCGGGAGGAATGCCGGCGGCTGCTACAGGAACAAGGTTAGACTGCAGGAAGAGGGTTGGTGAGTTTTGAGACGTCTCAACAGGTGATTGTCGGGTCTGAGCGATGAGGATCTGAGCGACGAGGACCTGCAGCAGCTCACGCGGGAGGAATGCCGGCGGCTGCTACAGGAACAAGGTTAGTGTGACGTCATGCTGTGGTTAGCCCATGAGGCTGACCCTCATTCAACTGGGAGCTGAGATCTCGTTACAGGTGACTGGGGATTTCTCAAGGTGGCTCAGGTATAGCCCATGAGGGACCCATGTTTGACTGGAAGCCGTGAGCTCGTTACAGGCGACCCGGATATCCCGGGAAATCCATAGATTTCGCCTTGGCTTGCCTATCCATCCCTCCCATTCGTAGGCACGCGAAAGTGACGAATACCTGTTGAGTTGACTCAGAGGTCACCCACATGACTAAGAGGTTGCATATGCTTGCTTCCCATCCACTACAGGCATGATGCATCGCTGCCTTTCCCCGTGCCGTGCGCAATACTCGCTTTCTCCCGCTAATCCGCGACTTCTGCTCGCCCACACTCGCCCCTCCCCCATGCAAGCGACGGCCGTCGTGGCCGAAATCCTTCGCCGTGCAGCAGCGCGCGGCCATGCGTTGCCCATTGCGGTGACTCAGCTTGAGGCGTCTATTTCCCTCGCTAATCCGCGCCTCCCCGCTGTCCTCCGCGTCCCCCTCCAGGCATGCGAAGGCCGTCGTGGACGAAATCCTTCGCCGTGCAGCAGCTCGCCGCCCTTCGCGAACTTTCGCTGCTGCCGTTCCCGCTCACCGTGCAGGCGCGTCCGCGCGAACCCACTGCTGCTTCTGCTGCGAGAGAGGGACAGAGGGCAGTCAATACAGGGGAACGTAGGGAGGCAGAAGCAGGAGGGATAGAGCAGGAGCGGCAGGAAAGGAGGGAAGCAGGGGGGATACAGCACGAGCGGCAGCAAGAAAGGGGGGAAGAAGCAGGGGAGGTTCGTCTGCGCGGTGGCGGCGAGGTGCGGCAAGACAGAGAGGCGGAGGCGCAAACATCGGCGGAGGCGCAAGCGTCCGCGGAGGCGCAAGTATTTGCGGAGGCGCAACTGTCCGCGGAGGCGCAAGTTTCTGCGGAGGCGAGACTAGCGTTTGCGGAATCGTTTCTGCTGGTAGTTATTTTTGCGTTTTTTGCGCAAGTTTCGAAACAACCCCTTATCTCCTTGTGTCGTCCTCCGCCCGTTCATCCACCACCCTTTCGCTCCTTCCTCCTGTTCCTAATCCAACTTTTCGTCTATGAGGCTGCTATGCGCATTATTATTCAACATCTTGTGTGCATCCTTTCGTTACGGTACGGCGTGCAATCCGCATTTGTGATTTGTAACATTCGATCTTCGTTCACTTTGCACCCCCTCTTCTCTCCCCCCCTCCTCCCCCTCTCCGCCCGTCCCTTTCCCCCTCTCCGCCCGTCGCCGTCCCCCTTTCCGCCCTTCCCCCCTTTTCCGCCCGCTCAACCCTAGCATGTCCTGCAAGAGCGCGCTCAACGCGCTCAAGCATCCGCGGACGCGGAAACGCCCAGGCGGGGGAGCGATTCTGGGCGTGCGGAAGCCTCTGGGCACGCGGAAGCTTCTGCGCGCGCGGAGCGCCCATCGCGCGGGGATCCGTCGGGGCGCGCGGAACCATGTGGGGGCGGGGCGGAGGCCTTGAAACGCCCGGAATTGTCTGGTAAGGGGGAAGTGGAAACGCATGTCCGCCTAGGGGCTTCCACACAGCAAGGGGGGATGAGCGGGGAAGGGGAAGGGGACGGAAGCGGGGGGGTGATGATGGGGGCGCGCGGGGGGAAGATGGAGAGGGGAAGCGTGGAAGGGGGAGCAGGCGAAAGTGTTGAGGAGCGTGGGGGAGGGAATGGGGGACGGGGGAAGGGGTTGGCGGAAGAGAGAGGGAAGGAGAGGGGGCGGGTGCGGGGAAGGATTGACTTAGAGAATAGTCCCGAGGAGGGGGAAGGTTCTGCGGGGGAGCAGCAGGAGGGAGGGGCAGGGGAGAAGGACGAGGAAGGTGAGGACGGGCGACAAGGGGAGGAAGGAGAGGAAAGGGAGGAGGGAGCGGAGAGTGATGGGAAGGGGCAGGAAGGGGAAGAGGAGGATGGGGATGGGGATGGAGGAGGAGGGGGAGGGGGAGGGGGAGGGGGAGGAGGAGGGGGAGGAGGAGGGGAAGGAGGAGGAGGAGGAGGAGGAGGAGGAGGAGGAGGAGGAGGAGGAGGAGGAGGAGGAGGAGGAGGAGGAGGAGGAGGAGTAGGAGGAGGAGGAGGAGGAGGAGGAGGAGGAGGAGGAGGAGGAGGAGGAGGAGGAGGAGGAGGAGGAGGAGGAGGGAGAGGAGGGGAGGGAGGAGGGGGAGGAGGAAGAGGGGGAGGGAGCAGAAGGGGGAGCGACAATGATGGCAGCAGTAGGGGCGGGGGCAGCAGCAGAGGCAATGGTGGTGGTGATGGTGATGGTGATGGTGATGGTGGTGGTGATGGTGATGGTGATGGTGATGGTGATGGTGATGGTGATGGTGATGGTGATGGTGATGGTGGTGGTGATGGTGATGGTGGTGGTGATGGTGATGGTGATGGTGATGGTGATGGTGATGGTGATGGTGATGGTGATGGTGATGATGATGGTGATTGTGATGATGATGGTAATGATGGTTATGGTGATGGTGATGGTGATGATGATTCTTGTGGTGGTGACGGCACAGCAGATTTAGAGGCAGCAACAGCAGCAGGGGCAGCAGAAGCAGCTAGAGAAACAAGCGAAACAGCAACAGGAGAAGCAGCAGGGTCGGCAGGGGAAACAGGAGCTGCAGGAGAAACATCCATCTCAGGCTCAGCTGCCTCAGGAGAAGCAGCAGGAGCCGAGGATGCTAAGGAAAGGGGGGAGGCACAGTTAAAGGCGGAGGCTGAAGCTACAGGACAAGCAGCATTGCCAGAGCGGCCTTTCCAACCACAGCACGCAGCACAACGGGCAGCGGCAGCAGCAGCAGGAGCCGAGGAAGCTAAGGAAAATGAGAAGACGCAACTAGAAGTGGAGGTTGGGCCTGCAAGCCAAGCAGCGTTGCCAGAGGCGCCCCAGCAACCACAGCTACAGTCAGCTCTGCTACAGCCGCAACAAGTAGAGCTACAGCCACAGCTTGATTTCCTAGCAGCAGCCAGCGAGGTGGGTATCCTGCCTCTACCCCGGTTCAACGCCCCCCCTGAACTCGCCTCTGCGTTTGCCGCTGCTGTGGCGGCTGCTGCTGCTACCCCTGCTCCTGCTGTTGCTGCTGACAATGCTACTGCTGCTTCTGGTGCTGCTGTCCCTGCTCCTGCTCCTCTTGCTGTTGCTCCTGCTCCTCTTGCTGGTGCTCCTGCTCCTCTTGCTGTTGCTCCTGCTCCTCTTGCTGTTGCTCCTGCTCCTCTTGCTGTTGCTCCTGCTCCTCTTGCTGTTGCTCCTGCTCCTCTTGCTGTTGCTCCTGCTCCTCTTGCTGTTGCTCCTGCTCCTCTTGCTGTTGCTCCTGCTCCTCTTGCTGTTGCTCCTGCTCCTCTTGCTGTTGCTCCTGCTCCTCTTGCTGTTGCTCCTGCTCCTCTTGCTGTTGCTCCTGCTCCTCTTGCTGTTGCTCCTGCTCCTCTTGCTGTTGCTCCTGCTCCTCTTGCTGTTGCTCCTGCTCCTCTTGCTATTGCTCCTCCTGCTCCTCCTGCTGCAGCTGCAACTGCTGCTACTTCGGCTCCTGAACCTGCTCCTCCTCTTGCTGCTGCGCTTGCTCCTTCCCCTGCCATTGCTGCCACCTCCGGGGAGCACTGGAGTGGGAGTAGGGAAGGTGCACGAGGAACTAAAACTCTCCATGTGCAAGGGAAAGGGCAGAAAGGGGAGCATGAGAAAATGGAAGGCGGCAAAGAGGAAGGTGACAAATTCAAAGGTGACAACGGCGTGGGTGACAAAGTCGAGAGTGACAAAGGCGAGAGTGCTACCAGCAGCTCTGAGGACTCTCCCTGGCGGTCAGTTGCAAACATTTCGCCACGTAGCCAGGATCTGCCCGGTCTTGCAGAGCCTGCCCGTGAACATTCAGCCGGACCTTTTCTTTTGAGGCAGGAGGAAGTGCATACGGCTGTAGCAGAGGGAGCGCGTTCACCTGCTGCTGCTACAGCTGTAGCAGAGGGAGCGCGTTCACCTGCTGCTTCTACAGCTGTAGCAGAGGGAGCGCGTTCACCTGCTGCTTCTACAGCTGTAGCAGAGGGGGCGCGTTCACCTGCTGCTGCTACAGCTGTAGCAGAGGGGGCGCGTTCACCTGCTGCTGCTACAGCTGTAGCAGTGGGGGCGCGTTCACCTGCTGCTGCTACAGCTGTAGCAGAGGGAGTTACTGTGCTGGCAGCCCAAAGGGGTGCTAGTCTATCTGTGCGTTTGTTTGGCTCTTCGCTTATGGAAGGCTCACTAGTGGAAAGAAGGCAAGAGGAAGGCAATTTTCCCTCTCCTGCTGCAGCTGCTGCTTCTGCTTCTCCTCCTGCTGGTGGTGCTGCTGCTGGAAGTCTTGAAGCAAATCTTGTAGCAGCACGAGCAGCAGCTTCTGTGCATGAGAAAGTGCCAACAGCAGCAGCGGTATCTGTGACAGGGCACGAGGCTTTAGCCACACGGGCTTCAGATATTTCGGGGGCTGCAATATCAGCCCCTGGATCCGCATCAGCACACAAATCAGCAGTAGCAGCAGCAGGCGCAGTATGGGCAGGACCAGCAGCAGCAGCAGCAGCAGCAGCAGCAGCAGCAGCAGCAGCAGCAGCAGCAGCAGAAACAGATGCAGGATCAGGAGTAGCAGCGGGAGCAGGACCCATGGCAGCAGCAGGACATGTTACACCAACAGCAGAAACAGCAGCTACAGGAGCAACAGTGGGGCTTTGGCCAATTCCACAGCAAGCTGTGGCATTACCTGCAGTCCCTGCTTTTGCACAAACGTCTGTGGTGCCTGTAGCAGTCGTGGCGGATGTAGCAGCTGTAGCAGCTGTAGCCCCTGTAGCAGCTGTAGCACCTGTGGCACCTGTAGCAGCTGCAACCGTTGCTTCTAGTATTGAGTCAAAACCTGCAGCACCGCTTTCAATCCATGCACTGCCTGCAGCACCCCTTTTAACGCCTGCAGCACCCCTTGCAACCCCTGCAGCGCCACTTGCAACGCCTGCTGCAGCACAGGCGTTCCGAATGCCAGCAGAGTCAATCCGAGTGGCCGAACGCCTGGCTGCCATCCCCATCCCTGAAGCCCTTTCCAGACGGTTCGCTGCCTCCACCTCTGCCAGGCGATTTGGCTTCCCAGCACCAGCAGCAGCAGGAGGACGAGCAGCAGGAGCTGCAGCAGCAGCTGCTGCGGCCCCAGCGACAGCACCCATAGCAGCATCAGCTTCCGCAGCAGGAGCTTTATCTGCTGGGGATGTCGCTGCTCCTATCTCTCATGCTTCTGCCGCTGCTGCTGCTTCTGCCGCTGCTGCTGCTCCTGCCACTGCTGCTGCTGCTGCCACTGCTGCACCGGATGCTTCGCCTCCGTCCTCCCCTGCCCTGGCCGTGTCTTCTTCCCCTGCCCTTGCTTCTGTGCCCAAGGTGGAACCCTCCTCTGCTTCCACATCCGAGTGAGTGCTAAGGATTGCAGTAGGTGCATTCGAGGAAATTCCTACCATTGCTGCTCCGTCTGCTCCTCCCCTGGGTTTCATTCCATGTCTTTCCCTCTCCCTTGCTGCTCCTTTTCTCTGGTTTCCCTTTCCTCGCCCTCCTTCCCTCTGGTTTTCTTTTCGTTTCCCTCCTTCGCTATAGTTTCCTTCCGGTCCTACATTTCCTCTGTTTTTCCTTTTGTCTGTTTTTCCTTCCTTACTTCCCCCCCCACACAGGACTGGACAGAGTCAATTAAGTCAACAGCCCGCACACCTCAAGGGGAGGGGGCACCTGGGGGAGGCGTTATCTTCCGATACATCAGGCAGGGAGGAAGGGCGTGGGAGGGCTGTGTCAAGAGCTGGGCGGCGAGGGAAGCGGAAGGAGCGAGAAGCAAGAAGGGAGAGGGGGAGGGGACGAGAGGGGGATGGAAGAAGCGAGGGGGAGAGGGGAGAAGGGGATAGAGTGAGGGGAGAGGAGGTATCAGGTGGAGGGAGAGGAGGGGGGAGAGCGGAAACGGATGCAGTGGAGAGTTGCCGACAGCAGGATTTGAAACCAGGACCTCAAGCATCGGCACCACAGCCACCAGCAGCACCACTCGAATGCGAAGCAGGAGAGGAAGCGATGCAGGTTGCTCACCCACTTATACCGCGAGCAACCGTTGCGCACCCAGCCATTCCTCGAGCCCATGGCATGAGGCTGCCTCAGAGCGTTGTGGAGTCACAGCAGCAGCAGCAGCACTATCAGGAGGAGCATCGCCACCACCATCAACAGCCACAAGAGGACCTCCAGCAGCAGCAGCAGCAGCAGCAGCAGCAGCAGCAGCCGCCGCCGCCACAGCAGCAGCAGCAGCGACAGGAGGGGGAAAGTGCGGCGGAACGCGGGCAGGGGACTGGAGTGGGAGTGCTAGCTGTACCTACTCCAGTTGTACCTCCTGTGGGGTCCTCTCAGCTGACGATCTTCTATGGGGGCATGGTGCATGTATACCAGGACGTGCCTTCAGATAGGGTGAGCGCTTGTTGTGATGGCGTGGTATGGCTCCGTTCGACTCTGTCACAGAGATTGAACTGAGATGCATCTGCACTGCATGTGCCATGGGGGGGTGGTCCACAGGTGCAACGACGTGCCTTTAGACAGGGTGAATGCATGCTGTGCTTGGAGTGTATGGTGCAGTAGCACAGACAGAAGTTGAATGTGGGATGTGTGTGAATCGCATCTTCTACAGGGGGGTGGTCCACGGGTACAACGACGTGCCTTCCGACAGGGTGAGTGCTTGTTGTGGGAGAGTGCTTGTTGTGTTTGGAGTGTATGCTGCAATGGGATAGGATTATGAGATGGGCTTTAAATGTGTCTATTATGGAAGAGTTGTTAGTGAGTGTATGATGGCGTGCCTTCGGAAAGGGCTCGTGAGTGTTGTGGCATAGCGTTTGTGAAGGTAGAGCGTGGTTTAGTGCAATGCTCATATCTAGTGCCACCCCATATTATCCTTTAGGAGGAACTCTTACAACCATACAGAACACATGGGAGCACAATTTTTATTGTCGCCACAAATGCCAAATCAGCCTAATATCAGGAAGCTCTATAGCATACAACTCCTATTCCTCATGTGTCGCCAACTCAAGCTTGTCAGCATACCATACTTGTATTGTCGTTTCCCCATACTCTAAACCTGAAACCCTTGGTCATCCTATTTCATACGTTTGCAAAACATGGGCTCCAAAATTTCGCCTCCCAGAGCGCGACTACTTGTTTCAACTGCTCTTCTCGTTGTAGCTGTCAATCAAAGAAGTGGTAAGAGTTGGATGTGCTTGGTGTGGTTGTGGAAAAAACAAGCTATATGATGCAAACAATGGTGCTTCAGTTGTCGCATTGTTAGATAAATTATCACTGAGGGTAGCCAAGATTCACGAAGAAAAGAGAGAGCCCTTGGACTGCCATGGTGTCGACGCACAGGACTTGTTTACTCGAGAGAAATCGATGTAAGAAGGATTGTGGAGGTCGCCTTTAAACAACTCTGTTTTTAAGATTGTGGAGAAGTGTTGAACCAAGTCATCACTTGGATCAAGTCGTCACTTGGACCAAATCTTCACTTGGATCAAGTCGTCACTTGGATCAAGTCGTCACTTGGATCAAGTCGTCACTTGGATCAAGTCGTCACTTGGATCAAGTCGTCACTTGGATCAATTCGTCACTTGGATCAAGTCGTCACTTGGATCAAGTCGTCACTTGGACCCAATCGTCACTTGGGCAAAGGCTAGTATGATCGTCGGGTTATGGGGTTTTGCTATAGCCAGTCCGATGAGGAGTGTGGGTCTTCGTGGCATGTGGAGAGCGGAGAACCCGTTCACAGTGAGGCCACTGAAGAAAGGCGAAGCATCTGGTTGCAATCACGACACGAGATTGGTGAGCTTTGTTTTCGAAAATTCCCAACACTAGATAAAATATGTTAAGTCAAATACAAACATGAGGGTTCCAACGAGCTCAAGGCTTGGAGCAGTATAGACTGAGCAGTATAGATTGAGTGGTATAGGTTGTGCAGTATAGACTAAGCAATATAGGTTGAGCGGTATAAACTCAGTAGTATAGACTGAGCAGTATACACTATAGATTGTGTTGTTCATCACCACTGACTGCACCTCGTTGATATCTTCACCAAGGCCCTTGGGCGTGTTAATCACGATGCCTTCTCGGCTCTATTGAACTTTGACCTCCATCATTTGCACTATGAATCAAATCGCCATCTATGAATGGGTGTGCGAGTTGTTCCACAATCTCATATATTATGTGTATCACATGTATCACATGTATCATGTGACGTCCTACTTTAGTGCCAAAGTAAGTGGGTTGGAAATGTATCACATTTTTTCTCTCCAGCAGCTAGAGATTTCAACCAATCTCAATGGCATTGTTTTCTAATGAATCTAGGCTCTAAGCTCCATCTATTTAATAAGTAATTCCAGCTCATTTTCCCTTGGTCTTTGTGGTTTTCCTCATCCCTCTTCCCTCCATCTATCTTATGTCCGACTCAGGCAACTACTGGCTGAGACCTCTTTCCCTCTTTCCATTGTCTTTACAAACGAACCAATCTTACAATCTTACCTTCCAGTGTCCTTTTGAAATTGAACCTGTCCCTCCTGTGTCAGGCCCAGGCAATCATGCTATTGGCTGGATCAAGCACCACCTCCTCCTCCTTCCCTCTCCCCCCAAACCTCCTCACCGCTCAACACTCCTCCATCTCCACCCCTCGCAGCCCTCTCCCTTCTCCCTCCACCCTCACTCCCCCACACCCCTCCTCTCTCCCTTCACCCAGCCACCCTCACTCACCAGCCTCTGGCCCTTCCTCCTCCTCGGCCCAGTTCCTTTCAGCGTTGCTCCCTGCCCTGCCTCTCTCCTCCCTCCCCTATCCTTCTGCTCCTTCGGTCTCTTCTCTGTCAGCTGCTCCCTTCTCGCCGCCCTCTGCTGCGCCCTTCTTGTCGCCTTCTGCTGCTGCCTTCTCTTCTTCCTCTGCTCTTTCCCTTGCCTCCTTGCCGTCTCACCCTTTGAGATCAATGGACAAGCAAGAGAGGGGGAAGGGAAGGGGAAGGGGGGAAAGCGTTGGTGGTGGGGATAGTGACAGCCGTGGTGATGCTGCTGTGGGTAGCGGGGGTGGTACTGGTGGTGATGATGATGGTGATCTGGCAAGAGAACAAGCGTCTATTCAACAACAGTTGCACCGCCAGTATTGGCAGCAGGAACATTTGTGGCAGCAGCACCAACAACATCAACATCAACAACATCAGCAGCAGCAGCAGCAGCAGCAGCAGCAGCAGCAGCAGCAGCAACAGCAGCAGCAGCAGCAGCAGCAGCAGCAACAACAGCAGCAGCAACAGCAACAGCAGCACCAACAGGAACAACAGCAGCGGCAGCAGCAGCAGCAGCAGCACCACCACCAACATCCATCTGCCAGCATCCCCTCTCACTCGCTCTCTCACTCTCCCTCTCCTCCTCGGGCCCACTTCCACACCTCCCCCTCACCTTCACCTTCCATTGCACCCACTTCCATTGCACCCACCGTGCATGTGTACGTTCAGTACCCAGGTGCCCACCTGCCTCCCTCCTCCTGGCCCTCAGTCCAAATCTCAACAGCTGCAGGAGCAGCAGCAGCACCCGCAGCAGCAGCACCAGCAGCAGTGGCAGCGGCACCAGCGCCCACAGTAGCACCTGCCCCAGCAACGACTCATCCAACACAACAGCCACCGCTACCACTTCCACTACCACCACCATCCACAGCAGCAGCACCACCAGAAGGGGCAGGTTGGCATTTCACGCCCTCCTATTCCCCCCCATCCCTCAAGCATAGCATGTCTCTAGAGGAGTTAGGAGCAGCCGGAGGAGGGGTTGGAGGTGGAGGGGGGGCGGGGAGAGAGGAGCAGAAAGGAGGAGGAGGTGCTGGAGTTATTGCAAGAGTGGCTGAGAGGGAGAGAAGAGGTGTGGCTGATGCAGGGGGGAGTGGAAGCATGAGTGGGAGTGGGAGTGGGGGTGGGAGCAGGAGCGCGAGTGGGAGTGGGAGTGGAGGGAGAGGGGGTAGTGGAGGGAGTGGGGGTAGTGGCGGCAGTGGGAGTCGTGCATATGCAACGATCAACAAAGGTAAGATACATTCACTCGTTCATAAAAAACCTAATGTGACTTTGGAAAACGGTATTATCGTTGTGTCTAACGCTCTTGTGTGTTGTTTGCATGGTTGTTACAAAGAGCTCCCTCCGGCGTCGGGGAGACAAGCTTCGATCGCTCGATTCAAGGAGAAGAAAGAAAGGTGATATATGATGGTAGATTACACCATGTTATTGCACGCATCGTCTCAATCTTACAAGTAGTTTCAGAGGCATCTAAGCTGAGGATAAGATAACAATATACAGTACCAGTGTCTTTTTGGTATGTGCATGTGTGTTTTTATTTTTTTCTGCAGGACTAAATCACGGCTACAAGTGTCATCTCGACGCGGTAACCCTCGATCATCATCACCATCGCCTCCAGTTTCCCACTCCCCTGCTTCAAGTTTCATGTCACACGGTCGGCACACTGCCAGCGTTGTGCCTTTAGAACTAAGGGAGCTGCTGCAGCAACAAGCACAGCAGCAGCAGCAGCAGCAGCAGCAGCAGCAGCAGCAGCAGCAGCAAGCATATATACCGCAAGCACAACAGCAAGCACAGCAACACGAGCAACAGCTACAGCAGGCACAGCAGCAGCAACAGCTACAGCTGCAAGCACATCTAGTGCAAGCACACCAACGGCAAGCACAGCAACAGCATCAACAGCTTCAACAGCAGCAGGTAAGGCAGGGGAATTATCCCCAATACCAACAGCATGAGTCACAGCAACACATGCTGCAGCAACAGGTGCAGGAGCGGCAGCAACAGCGCCAAGCTTCAGCGACTTCCTTTCACAGTGGTGGGTTGGAAGGACTTGACACAGAGGCAAAAAGGTGACTTTTCAGTGGACTCAAAAGGCACTCCTATATTCAGCAGCAACAGGTGCAGGAGCAGCAGCAACAGCGCCACGCTTCTGCTACTTCCGTTCACAGCGGTGGGCTAGAAGCACCTAATGCAGTGGAAAAATCCCCTTTGTAAGGTGCCTCGATAAATCATCTGCAACTTCCTTTCACAGTGGTGGGTCGGACGGAAGCACCTGACTCAGAGGCAATGCCTCCTTCGCCCTTCCAGGAGCCTCGCTATGCAGGCAGCGGAAGGGTCAAAGTTCAGAATAAATTACACAATCTGTGCAGTGCACTGGTGGGTTGGATGGCAGCACCCAACGCAGAGGCAGCGCCTCCTTTGCTCTCTTGGAGAGTCTCACTAGGCACCGGAAGCGAAGGGTCAAGGTTCACAATAAATTGCACAACCTGTGCACCCTAATAAGGTCTTGTTGTATGGTCTGTACTAATAATGTCTTGTTTGGGGACTGTTCTCTGGTTTGTAATTTAAAAAGGTCGTATGCTTTCTTCCTGCTGCCATCTGGTTTGCTGGACCCTATACACCTAGTAAAGTAGGCTGTGCCTAGAAGTACCTGGTGTGTCAAATCACTTTTGCAAAAGTTCAGAAAGCTGTCTGACAATATCGAGTATCTTCGACAACGCCAACACCATCCCCTTTTGCCTCCCCATACCACACCGCACCGTTTCGCATAAACCCGAAATTTTGAAAGGTGTGGAGGAGGAAGGGATTTAAACTAGTCTGAACGCGGCTTGGCATTTCCTCGGTATTGCAGCACCAGCGTGCTATCGCCATTCTTTGCATCGGCGATTAGGGTTTTCTTGGGTTCTCGCCTCTGCGTTCTCACGGGTTCCGCGCAGCTGCGTTCAGTATATGAATTGCGTCGCGTTTCCTGATTGCACCTGCGCCCGGCTGCGTTCGGCTGCGTTCGTTGTGTATTCTCTTTTTCATTCTACAGGCCCGGTCGAGAGCATTCTGACAAATCTTTTGAAACAATGCAGAATCTGGTGGTTTCCACCGAAACCGGCTACCGCATCCCCCTCGCACCACGGCCGTCCGATTCAGTCTTTCACCCGGATGCGCGATCTGATGGCGTCAGCCATGCTAGCTTACAGGGCAGCGGGGATTTCGCAGAAGGGCTCGGTTTGGAGCGGTTGGTTGCGGTGGCATGGGATACGGAGGTGTCTGTAGTTTATGGCGTCACGGACGAGTGTACTATCTACGGTCTAGATTTAACTACGAGTCGGCTCCTATTCGAGTATCCCTTAGTACACTCTGGCGATCTGCCCGTCCCAGACAGAATCGTATCCGCGCGCTACCTGCCATCACATGCCGCCCTCTTTTTGGCGTTTTCCCGCGGGGAGATGGGGCTGTTTTTTTCCCCAGCCAAGGCGGGGGAAGGGATCGGCGGAGCGATGGGGGGAGCGGAAGGGGGGGTGGGCGGAAGGTTTGAGATAGTGGGGGAACTGACGGGGGGTCTGGCGGCGGTGGTGTGGGCGCCAGACGAGGAGGAGGTGGCGGTGGTAACTGGGGCAGGGCGATTGCTGACTATGACTAGCGATTGGCAGGTAAGCTGTATACAGTCGAGAATGTAGCATGCCGTGCGTGCAGCGAGAGGGTTTATCTGTGAGAGGGGGATGAGGAGGAGGTGGCGGTGGTAACTGGGGCAGGGCGATTGCTGACAATGACTAACGACTGGCAGGTATGGTGGGGCAGGTTGCAAAAGAAGGGTCTCGGGTTTATGCGAGGTTTGGAGCTTATCTAAGGTTTATAGCGTATTCACGGGTTTATACAGCTGATGACTTAAGCCTCATAATCTTTGTTAAGTTGCGGTTTTAGAGTCGAACTATTCCTCAAACGAGGATGCACTGTAGTTGCGGACGGTTAAGTGCGATGTTGAATGGCGAACGTTCTGTGATTGCCGTTTGAAACTGTACTTGGGTGTTTGTGCGTTTGTATGTTGCCACGTGTGTGTGTGTTGCCACGTGTGTGTGTGTGTGTGTGTTGCCACGTGTGTGTGTGTGTGTGTTGCCACGTGGCATGCATGCAGGTGCTGATGGAAGTGCCTCTGGAGCAACACGAGCCACACGCTTCTGAGGTCAGTCTGCTGCTACTCCCGTCCGCTGCTCCTATGCGCTGCACTCCGCTCCTATGCGCTGCACTCCGCTCCTATGCGCTGCACTCCGCTCCTATGCGCTGCACTCCGCTCCTATGCGCTGCACTCCGCTCCTATGCGCTGCACTCCGCTCCTATGCGCTGCACTCCGCTCCTATGCGCTGCGTGCCTTCTCTGCTCCCCTTCATCCCTTCCTTTCCTCTCCCTCGCCATGTCTATTGCTCCCGTCCCCCCTTTCCCGCTCTTTCTTCCCCCACCTTCTCCTCCCCTCCCCCCCGCCCCCTCTCTCTTCCCTTCCCCCCAACCAACTTCCAGCACCAACGCCCGGGTTTTGAGATGTCTCAAAAATAAAGAGGTGACTTTTGAGTTGACTTAAAAGCCACCAGCTTCCAGCACCAATTCTCGGGTTTTGAGACGTCTCAAAAATATTTTCCCCCACCGGCTTCCAGCACCAACGCCCGGTCTCCCCCTTCCGCCCCCTTTTGTCTGTTTCATTTCTTCCTTCCTATCAGGGACTCCCAGCAAACCAGCAGCTGCCACCTGGAACGTACGGCTCAGGTGACGTGTCTCTGAGCTGGCGTGGAGATGGAAAGTTCTTTGTAACTTCCAGCAGAAGATCGCCAAGAGGGGGAGCAGAGGAGAGAGGGGGAGGAGCAGGAGAGGAGAGAGGGAGTGAGGGAGAAGGTAGGGTCGATGAGAAGAGTGTGGAAGCCGAGAGTAGGTGGGTGGTGAGAGTGTGGGAGAGGGAGAACTGCTCCCTGCATTCCAATGCTGACGTGGCATGTGGGGACCACCTGACTGGGCCTGCTGCATGGCAGCCAGCTGGCGCACTGATAGCTGCTGCTGCATGCAAGTGGGAGGAGGGAAGGGGGGAGGAGAGAGGAGGGAAGGAGAGAAGAGGGGAGGAGAAGGCAAGGGTTGGAACTGCAGTTCTGCCTGTTCAGGATGCTTCGTTTCCCGAAGCTGGGTCAGTGCGGCAGGTGGGGAGGGCAGGGCAGGGGAAAGGAGAAAGAGAGAAGGGGGGAGGCGGAGGAGAAGGAGGAGGGGATGCAAGTCTGAGGGCATCAGCATGCGTGCATGAAATTGTGTTCTTTGAGCGAAACGGGCTCGAGAGAAACCGCATGCAGCTGGCAGGGCTGCCCCGCCCACAACCGGAATCGAACCCGCGACCTTTCAATTCTCATTCTTCACTGGCTGGTGCTGGTTGCCCCTGCTGTGGCTGCCACGTGGCAGCAGTTGACTGGAGCAGCGACTCCCAGCTGCTGAGTGTTGAGGTGGAGACCCGTGATTGGCTGGCCATTCAGGTATACTACCGCTGCAACTACAAGTGGTATTTGAAGCACGAGCGCCGCACCAGCAAGACCCACCCCCACCCATCCCCACCCTCTTTCCGTCTCCTACCTTCTTTCCTCTGGCACCCCGAAGCCCCCTCCTCCGCCCTCGCCTTCTCCCCTCTCGGGATCATCTCAGCCGTCCATTTCATCTGGACGGCTGGTGCCTTAGCACCCGGCAATCCCACCGTTGCTGTGATCGACGGCCAGGATTTGAGGATCTTGTCGCTGCTACTGCATGGGGGGAATGGGGGCGCAGGGGGAGGGGGGAGTGGGGGGAGCGGGGGGGGCGGAGGGGGAAGGGGAGGGCTTCTCCCCCCACCGTACTGCCATAGGGTGGAGGGGTTTCCGGCTGCTGTGGTGGCGGTGGCGGGTGCTGAGCTGGCAGGTGATGAGGTGGCAGGGTTTGATTGGTGGGAGGAGAGCAGCGATGCGTCTGGAGTTGAGAGTGGTACGGAGGGGTGTGGAGCAGTCCAAAAGGGTAAGAAGGGTGGAGTTGAGATAGTGGGAGCGGTGCTTTCGAACGGTGATGTGGGGGTGGTGGTGAGACCAGAGGAGTGTGACTGGATGGATGAGGAGGAGGAGGACGAGGAGGGAGAGGAGGGAGATGAAGAAGGGGAAGGAGAGGAAGAGGACTATGATGATGAGGATTTTCGGCAGATTAAACGGTTCGTGGCTACTCTAGACAGCAGTGGCACCAGTGGAGGTGGGGGTGGAGGTGGAGGTGGCAGCAGTGGAGGTGGGGGTGGGGGTGGAGGTGGCGCCACCTCCACCACAGCTAGCAATCCTGCCAGCAGCGGCAGGCACAGCATATGGAGGGATGACATTGCTCGCATGCGCCACGCAGCTTGGCTCTCCCCCACCCGCCTCGTGGGCGTCATTGCCTCTCTGCATGAAGGGCCTCTAGAGCAGGCTTCGCCTGAGCAGGCTTCATCTCAGCAGGCTGCTTCTGTTGACTCCGTTGACTTTGTTGACTTGGTTGTAGAGCTTGAGTTGCGACGAGAGAAGGGGTTAAGAAGGGGTGGGGAGGGGGAGGTGCAAGGAGCAGTGATGAGTGTGGTGGGGGTGGTGGGGCTGAGGCAGAAAGTTGTGGGTATGGCCCGGGGCACGTGTGCTGCTGTGCACACTGTTTCTGCACCGGCTGCTGCTGCTGTGGCGTTGAGTCGTGCTGCTGGGATGAAGGGAGGGAACGCAGTGGAAGAGAGAAAAGAGCATCTGTATTGGCAGCAGCAAACGGCGCAGCAGCAGCCGCAGGGGCACCTGCAGCAGGCTGTTAAGGGTGGGCCATCGGTCTTCCTATCTCTCTTTGATGGTTCTCTCCTTTGCTATCTTTCCTCCTCCACCACTCCTCCTGCCATCCATGCACCCTCTTCTATTTCCCCCTCTCCCTCGCCCCTCTCCCTCCCTTCAACGGAGCTGGTGCTTCGATTCCCCGAGCCATGCCCTTGGATTGCTGTGGTGGAGGCGAGGGTTCGAATCCAGCCATCATCATCATCAAAATTTACTGCAGAGTCATTATCATCAGCAGCAGCACCACCAACAGCAACAGCATCAGAATCAGTAGCAGCAGCGCCTGTGGTGGTTCTATCTGTAGGGAGATCGCATAAAGGGCGTCTGTATGTTGGCTCTGCTGCTCACCTTAGTAACCCCACAAATGGAGCGGTAACCAAGTTACCACAGGCTCCTGAGGCCACAGCAGTGTGTGGCGACTGCTCGTCCTTTGTGCTGCACTTCATGGCAATTCCCAAGGCTCCTGGAGTTCCCAAGGCTCTCAAGCCCAGTTATAGTACAGAGCTTGCTGCCAATGTCAAGTTGTCACGGTCCTTATCCCCATGCCACGTCATCACTCTGGTGTTCACTACAGTGTCGGGTGCTATAGTCACACGAGACCTGCTTGCTTTGGCTCTAGGGGCGGGTTCTGGTTCCCAGGGTGCAGCTGGAGGCGCAGGTGGTTCTTCAGGTGATTTTTCAGATGCTTCTGTTGCGCTCCCAGGTGCACTCCCAGGCAGGGTGTCGGAGGAGGGGACGAGGGCAGGAGTGGGTGGGCTGGCCGGCAGCAGAAAAGGACAAAAGGGGAAGGTGCCGTCATCATTGCTGTCTTGTCCTTTGTGGGAAGGCGGAGCGGTGCTGGTGGCAGGGCTTGGGCGGCTGAGGGTGGGAAAGGGTGAGGGAGAGGTGGTGGGTAGAGAGGAAGAGGGGGAATGGGAGGAGAGAGAGAAGGCAAAGGAGGAAGAGGAGGGGGAGGGGGAGGGGGAGCCGGCAGTGGTTCTCCAGGCGACACGTGGCAGTCTGGAATTGGTCTACCACCGGGCATTGGTCCTGCGGGCGGCGGGGCTGCTGCTCAGTCAGCACCGCTTCCGGGCGGCTGCTGAGCTGGCGCGCCGTCACAGGCTGGACCCAAACGTGCTTGTGGATTTCGGCGGGTGGCAGTCATTCGCTGGTTTGGAAACAGCCACTAGTGGGGCACAGAGTGAAACAGCCCTTAGTGGAGAGCAGAGAGAGCAGAGAGAGCAGAGAGAGCAGCGTGAAGCGGCCTCTAGTGGTGTGCATGCGGGGTCAGTGGGCGCTGGAGTGAGGGAGTTTGTGCGGCAGGTGGGGGAGCGGGGGCTGCGGCATGTGAGTGAGGTGATCTATGGTCTGAGAGAGGAGGATGTGGCAGCGAGAGGGGGAATGTATGGTGAGGTGCTGGCGGGGATGAGAGGAGAGGTAGGAGAAGGGGGAGGGGAAGGGGGAGGAGGGGGTGGAGAGGGAGGAGGTGGAGAAGGGGAGGGGGTAAAGGGCAAGGTGACAGCTGTGTGCACGGCTCTCCGGGCGGCGCTAGAAGCCGAGCTGCCGCCCGGCGCCGTCCGGGACACGTGTGTGCTAAGCACGTACGCGTGCAGTGTGCCGCCGAGGCTGGAAGAAGCCCTCCTGCGAGTCAAGGCAAAACGGAGCTCGGATGATCAATTGGGTTTGTCAAGAGATGGGCCGAAGTCCGCAGCTGTGCAAGTGGTGAAAAGTGGTTCTGCAACGGTGAAAAGTGGTTCTGCAACGGTGAAAAGTGGTTCTGCAACGGTGAAAAGTGGTTCTGCAACGGTGCAAAGTGGTGCATCAACAACGGACGGGCCTACAGTTGAACCTGATGCTCCTCACCCCCCCACCCCTCTCCTCTCCCTGTCTGTGGAAGCTTCCTTGAAGCATCTCATGTGGCTGACCTCCCCAGACCATGTCTTTAACTCCGCATTAGGTCTCTACGATTTAAACCTCGCTGCTTTAGTAGCCGCCCATGCCCAGTCCCAAAAAGACCCCAAGGAGTTCCTCCCTATCCTCCGAGGCTTGGCCGCCGAGGCTCCGCCGAATCGGCGGCTCAGGATCGATGTGAGGCTCGGGAGGCTGGAAGGGGCGGTTGGCCAGCTGGTGGCTCCTGATTCGCCGCTGATGGTGGTGGGGAGGGGCGGAGGGAGGGGAGAGGCGGAGGGAGAGGGAGGAGAGGGAGGAGAGGGATTGGAGGGGAAGAGTGGTGAGCAAGTGAGGGAGCAGGCCAAGGGAGAGGGGAGTGAGGCAGCAGGACAGGAGGCAAGGAGGCTAGTGGAGGAGGTAATGGCATTGCTGCAAGCACACCCTGATAGACTGTTTCCTGTTGCTGCTGCTGCCACTGCCACAGCTATCGCCTCTCATCCCTCCCTCTCATCCTCCTCCTCTTCCCGCTCCTCTTTCCCCTCCCCCCCCTCCTCTTCTTCTTCCCTCGCTGCTTCGGCCGTGCCTACCCTTGCTTCGGTCCGAACCTCCATTCTCAACGAATGGGCTGAGCATCTCTTTTCCCGAGCCTCCGAGGCCTCGCTTCCCGAAGCGGCGCTGCTCTTTGCCGCAGCTAACAACTTGCCTCGGGCGCTCCAGGCCTACCGTCAGGCTGGGCAGTGGCGCAAGGCCCTTACCACAGCAGCCAGGCTCGGATTCCCCAAACCTGAGGTTCGGAAACTCGCGCAGGAGCTTCGGGAGGAGCTTGTCGAGGTTGGAAGGAGGGCCGAAGCCGGGCGGCTGGCGATTGAATATGAGGGTGATTCGGGCGGCGGGATTCACCTTTTAGTGGAAGCGCATTGCTGGGAGCAAGCAGCAGAGGAGGCGGGGAGGAGTGGACAGGTGTCGCTTCTTGATTCGCTGATCGTTCCAGCAGCAGTGGAAGCAGCAAGGGGCATGCTAACAGACATGGATGAAACACAGGGGAAAATAACAGCCTATGTTCGCCGGTTCGGTGCAGTGCGGTGCAAAAGGGTGCAGATGGAAGAGAAGCTGAGAGCAGAGAGGGAGGAAAAGGAGGAGGTGGAGAGGAGGAGGAGGGAGGAGTATGGAGAGGAGTATGGGGGAGGGGGCATGGGGATGGATGAGGCATCTGAAACGGCATCTATGGCATCGAGTGATGTGGGGAGCATGGCTAGTGGTGTCACTGGCTTGAGTGCCTACACTGCAGGGTACGTGCTTATACTGCAGGGTACGTGCTTATACTGCAGGGTACGTGCTTATACTGCAACATTTCATAGACAAGTTGGGTACGTGCTTATAAAACTTGCGGGTTTGTTGGGGACAAAACTTGCAGGGTACGTGCTTATACTGCAGGGTACTCACATGCTCCCAACATTTCTCAACATTTCTCAACATTTCTCAACATTTCTCAACATTTCTCAACATTTCTCAACATTTCTCAACATTTCTCAACATTTCTCAACATTTCTCCCCCCTCCCCTCTCAACACTTCTCTTCTCTCCACCTCCTTTGCTCCACAGTTCATCCTCTCATCTCGGGTGAGCACAGCCAGTGGGTGCACGACCACCAGCAAGTCTCAAGGCACTTTTACACCAGCAAGTCTTGGATTCTCGTGCTCCAACCCACTTTCTCCCCTGTCGTCCCCTTCACCCCCTACGATCACCCACAGTTCATCCTCTCGTCTCAGGTGAGCACAGCCAGTGGGTGCATGACCACCAGCAAGTCTTGACTTGTTCTGCTCCAACCCACTCCTCCCCCCCTCACCCCCTGTCATACCTCACAGGTAATCCTCCCAAGTGAGCACAGCCAGTGGGTGGGCGGCCAGCAACAAGCCTTGATCCGCCTCAAGGTCTCCTGATTCCTCTCCCGCCCACCCTTCTCCTGTCAACCTTTCTCTCCCCCACCCCCCACCTCCTGCCACAGCTCGTGCTCCCGAGTGAGCACAGCCAGTGGGTGGACGGTCAGCAGCAGTGACCTTCTCACTGTCCCCCCCTCTCCGCTCCCTTTCCTCTCCCCCACCACCCTCTGCCATGCTTCACAGGTCATCCTCCCGAGTGAGCACGGCCAGTGGGTGGACGGCTACCAGCAAGAAGGCGAGTGGCAGAGCGGCCAGGAGAAAACAACAGAAGGCGGACAAGGGGAGGCGGATTCGCGCTGGCAGGTCAGACGTAGGGGCGTGCTGGGGGAGGGAAAGGGGAGGGGTGGGTTGAAACCAGATTGGGGAAAGGCCAGGAGAAAACAACAGGAGGCCGACAAGGGGTAACGGATTCGCGCTGGCAGGTGAGACTTAGGGGGCTGCTGGGGAGAGGGAAGTGGGGGACAGGGGGGAAAGAGGAAAAGGTGCAAGCGAGTAGGGGAAAGGCCAACAACAGAAGGCCGACAAGGGGTAACGGATTCGAGCTGGCAGGTCAGACGTAGGGGGCTGCTGGGGGAAGGGAACGGGGGGTCTGGGGTGGGGGTTTCCATGTTCTTGAGCAAAGTTTGCGCGCCATGCTCATGCACACGCACATGCACATGCACATGCACATGCACATGCTCATGCTCAGGAGCTCAGTTGTTTGAGCCAACGAAAAAAGCCCTTGTTCCATTCCTGATGAGGAAAAGGCACTGGTCGAGCACATTCACCCTCCCATAAAGGGTCCTGGTACTGGTCGAGCACATTCACCCTCCCATAAAGGGTCCTGGTACTGGTCGAGCACATTCACCCTCCCATAAAGGGTCCTGGTACTGGTCGAGCACATTCACCCTCCCATAAAGGGTCCTGGTACTGGTCGAGCCAAGCACATTATCATGCTTCACCCTGCCTTTCACTCAGCTCTCATAAACCTCTCCCTCCCATTCCTTACTCGCTTCTCTCTTCCATTGCCCCATTCCAGTCCTGACGAGGAGCAAGCACTGGTTGAGCACATTCGCATGCTTCTCCCTGCCTTTACCTCTGCTGACTCGGCATGTTTCTCCCTCCCACTGCTTCTCTCTCCCATTGCCCCTGTGCCAGTCCTGAAGAGGAGCAAGCATTGGTCGAGCACATTCGGATGCTCGGCCCCTCTTCCCAAACCTTGGAGGAGGTTCGGCAGCTGCTGGAGCTGCTGACAGGCTCGGGGCACGAGCCTTTGGCTCGGAGGCTTCAGACGCGGGTAGGGGCTTTGATTGCGACTCATACGGCAGCTGTTGCAGAGGTTGAAGCAGCTATTAAAGAGGATAAACTGAAGGCAGGTGTGGGAGTTGAGGGAGTTTTGTCTTCTGATGCTGCTAGAGATGCAGCATCAAGACTGGGGTTGGCTTCTACCACGAAGCAAGAAGTGAAATGGAAGTGGGAGGTCCTAGATGGCATTTGATTATACTGTTTTGTGTAACAGTAAGTTCAAGCAGCTTTTTTCTTATCACACATTGCTCTTGATTCAACACTAACTTTCTATTACCAGTATGTATGATACATTTCTAAAGTGTAGCGCGAGTGTTCAACCTGAACACACGAAGTGGGAGGCGAACCGGCTCTTCGGTTGAGCATTCCATTCGGCAATTCCCCGCGCGCCTCCTCCCGCACAACCTTGCCAATCCCGCATTCAAATCGCGCCCCCATCGCCCATTTGGCAATTCGCCCCCCATTCCACCCCCATTCGCCCCGACCGATCCGCAACTACTTTTCACACTCCGCCGCTGCATGTCCCTGATTCTCAAGTCTCCATCAACCTCCTCTCTCGTCCCTAATAGAGCAAGCCAACGGCCCTGTCAATGCAGCTGCATCCCGCAGGCCGCGAGTATCGCACGGATAGTATTCACCTTACGTATGGGGCGTAATCGCAGTGCGCGGCGCTGTCATGCTGTCAAGCGTCGATGACTCGGACTCTTGGCGCACGAGAGCAGCGAATTCTCCGCTGCAGCGCGCCGATACCGCGGAATCTCGGCAGCGTTAAAGCGGCAACGCCCAGAGCTCCGCGCAAGTGTCGAGAGTAACTTTATAGAGAGGATCGAGTTTATTGGACAAAGCAACAAAAACAGGCCGTTGCTGGTCTGCTCCTAGTCACGTGTTCGAGTCAACTGAACAACAGCCGCTCGGCTCAACCGTTGACTGTAAACTGAATCCGTCATCGCTCGTCGCGCCGCCCCTTTCATCGCGTTCCCCCCCGTTCCCCCCGTTCCCCCCCGTTCCCTCTAACTCCTCCTCCGAAAATGCTCCCGTCTCCCGTCGAGAACCGAGCCGATCACACGGCAGGCCATACGATTCGCCGCTCGTTGCGCCGCCCCTCACTGCGCGGAAACTCACCAACTGTTCCCCCCCGTTCCGTTTAGTAACTCCTCCCCCCAAAATGCTTCCGTCTCCCATCGAGAACCGAGCCGATCACACGGCAGGCGATAGGATGCCTCCACTTGCGCGCCTTCGCGATAGGATTCAAACCATTCAGACTGGTTGGTGACAGCGACGCGGGGTCGGACGCATGAGTTGGGCGACTGCGCGCTGCTCTCGCGTTTCGGGCTCGCCGGGTGGATATATAGTTAGCGAGTGTGAGCTAGTTCAGCCACACCGTCTTCATTCTGGCGAGATTCGAAGCTGTAGAATTCTCCCGTCTCCACTGAGAAAGGGTGTTCTCCTAATCATTCATACTCATTAGGTCGCTCCCGACCTCGGGAAGACTCTGAAAATGGGCATCCGCGCGCGTAATGCAGTTACACTGTGGGCGGTTTTCGCGAGCAGCGCCGGCGTCGCCGCGCTGCTGGTCGCGTGTCTCCTGAGCGAAAGCGGGGCGAACTTCGCGAACGCGCAACCCTCCGCCGCGAGGGAGCCCGACTGGGTGGCGCAGATGCTGCAAAACACCGAGCCAGACGCGCAACCCGCCCCCGCGGATCTCGGCTGGGTGGAGCAGCTGGTGCCGAATTCTGATTCGTCGGCGCAAGACGCATCCGCGCAAATCCCCCCCGCGCAAGGGCCTCCCGCGCAAATCCCCCCCGCGCAAGGGCCCCCCGCGGACGATCCCGACTCAGATGACCAGGATGAGGAGGACGATTCGCGTCCTGACTTTGCTGGAGAAATTGACCCCCAAGACTCGGAAGGTCAGGCGGAGCCTGACTGGGAGGCGCAGATGCAGTCTATTCTCCAGCAGGTGGCGAATCGCACGTTCCTCTCCTCCTTCGGCCAGATTTTCGCCAGTTACTGTGAGTTGTCACTCGTTTTGAACCGCTCTGTACCCATTTCAAGTCCGCGGGGCGCCTGTTCATTGGCCAGGATCTGATTCCTTCTCATCCCCACCAGCGTCTCTCTTCATTGGCCACTGGTGCCACCTCACCAAGTGTCCCACCTGGCACCTAATTGCTCATCCCACCAAGTATCTCTCCCTCCCCTCTTCTCCTCTCTCTATTTCTCCCTCCACCAGTCCAATCTGAACAGCTGTTCATCGATCAGGATGCAACCATTCTCATCCCCACCAATGAGGGGTCACAGGCACTGCCTCACTCCGAGTCTAATTGCTCTTACACCTCCCATTCCTATCCGTTTTGTCAACTCTTTCCAAACCTCCCTCCACCAGTCCAATCGGAGCAACTGTATATCGATCAGGATGCAACCATCCTCATTCCCACCAACATTGGCTACTGGCGCTACGAAACCCAGTGGGACACTCTCACCCGCAAGCAGAAGCGCCGGTTACTCCGTTACCACATTCTCAAGGGACGTTACACCACGCAGCAGCTCCTGGACGCCACTCCGCTCACGCTCTTCCCAACTTTTAACCAGAACCTGCCGGTGAACAAGACTCTTAAGCCGAACGAAGTGTATTTCCAGTCGGTTCCGCCGACGAGGTTCGTGTCGCCGCTGAGCGTGCCGAATGCGGGACTGACGGATAACATTGCTGCGCATGGCGTGACGATGGTGCTCATTCCGCCCAACCTCAACTAGAGGAATTTATCTTCTTGCAAGAAGAGGCGCCGAGCGTGCCGAATGCACATGCAGGGCTGATGGAGAATTTGGCTGCACATGGGGTGGTGGCAATGGTGCTCCTGCTGCCTAACCTCAACTGAACCTGGTCTTCTTGCAACAGGAGGTGCTATCCACTACAGTAGCAATCCGAAACAGCTTCTAAGCGCTTGTTTTGGAGTGTAGAGGGAACATGAAGCAGGCATGGGCAGGAGGGATGGAGTGAGTGGTGCTGGATGGATGTTGTATTGTTTGGGAGCAGGCTACGGAATAAAGAGAAGGGACTTCATTCATGGGGTGCCTATGTTTGATAGTAGTACCGTACAGTGCAAAGTACCGTATATTTTTTTAACAAATTCTACATTTGATGCATTTGATCACCAACAAAGCTTGCTTACTGGACGGACAAATACCGGCACTCACTCTTCTAGCATTCAAGACACTTGGATAATCGGCCTGAACAAGAGCATGTACCGTAATTGCAAAATTTTCACGGGATTTCGCACTCACATCACTTGCTCGCTATTCTCTCCTGATGGGGAGCAGGAACTGGTCGATAAAATTTGCAGGGTGTGCTTGATCTTTCTTCCAAACCCTGGAGGAGGTTTGGCGGGTGCTTGAGCGGCTGGTAGTAGATTCGGGACACGAGCTTTTGGCTTGGTGCTTGAGGCGCGTGGTTGGGATCTTTGACCCCTCTTTCATTCGAGGATAGGCTGGAGGCAACAACATTAGTTGAGGGACATTCTTTCGATGATGCATCAGGAATGTGGTAGGCTTCTACTAAGCAATAATGGAATGGAAGTGCGGTAGTACTTTGTAGGTTCTAGAAGGCATTTTACCGTAAGCCCCCGGATAGAAGCGCCCGTGGGGGTATAAAAAAACACTGTTTTTTAGGGGTTGCGCTTATAATCGAGGATTTTTATAAGCGCCGGCGCTTATATAATGACATTTATGAAATGCATATTTCTTCCACACCAAATTGTAGATCACGTTGTTGCAATTTGAATCGAGTCGAAACTATACAGGGCTGGAATTGAGAATCTCGCGCCAGTTGGCAGGGAATCATTCCCTGCCAACACACACAGTCAGAATGACTCAACTTACGCTGCCAACAGCTCATTCTGACTGGACGCGCAGGCAATGAGCCGAGCGAGGTGAAGGACATCGAAATTAAATCATGTGGGAATGGACAATGTGATTTTCATTACAACGATTTCAGTACAATTATAGCAAAAACAAACAGAGGGTGGCGCTTATAATCTGTAAGCCTTCAGTGGTGGGATTATAATCTAGGACCGGATATAAGCGCCGTCATCCTTTTATAAGCGCCGGCACTTATCCGAGGCCTGCTCTGATATCCGGGGGCTTATGGTATCATTATTCAACAGTGTAGTATATCTAAGCAGCAAATTTTGTTAGCATTAGCACGAACTTCTAGGACGAAATTTCGACAGCACGAATTGGGAGACGAAACGGCACTTGCTGTTACAATATTACAAATTGTACCAATTTGTGGTTCGCTTCTCGCTTGGCCTCTGCACTGCCTCCTCTTCACGCGCAAAAGCCCCGCCACTTCCGCCCACATTCAATTTGCGCCCCTCTCACCCATTTCGCAACTCGCCCAACGTTCGCCCTCCCCCGCCCCCCCCCACCACTGATCCGCCTCTGCTGCCTGTCTTGAACTCTCTCAACTCAATCAACCTCAGCTGTTGTCCCTATTCGAGCAAGGCAATAAATGATCGTTCCGTTTTCTTCTCGTCGCGATGCGAGTATTGCACGGGTACACACCTCGGTAGTAGGAGTAGTAGAGTGCGTGTACTGTGCTCGCGGCGTGAGGTGAGATTTCATGTTGTGAGAAAACGACGAATCGAACTTCCGTTGCGCGAGAGCAGCAACTCCTCCGCTGCAGTGCGCCGATGCCGCGGAATCTCGGCAGCGTTTGAGGCGACTCAAAACGAATTTTGAGTCAAAAGTCGTCTAAGTTCACGCGGTTTTGAGGCGCCTCAAAAGTCCTCCGCTGCAGTGCGCCGATGCCGCGGAATCTCGGCAGCGTCATCGCGGCGACCCTAAGGTCTCGAGTAATCCGATAGCAAGGATATTTTTTTCCGGCAAAGCAAACAAAAACAGTGAGTTGCCGGCGTGCTCGAGTCAACTCAGAAACCGTCGACTGTAAACTAGTACAGCTATCACCGCTCGTTGCGCCGGAAGTATCAGAAACTCTCTGCGACCAGGTCGGACCTCTCTGCGCAGAAACTCACCAACTGCTTCCCCCGTTTCCGCCAACGCCTCGTCTGAAAATGCTTCCTTCACCCAACGCACGCCGACCTGAGTTTTGCAGATGATAGGATGCATTCTCCACGTCAGGTTGTTGCGATATGATAGGGTGCATTCTCCCTCGCGATATGATCCAGCCAGTCGGACTGGTTGCTGACAGCGGTCAGACGCACGATGATGCGCGTACGCGTGGGGCATGCGCGCTGGGACGCCTGCGCGCCTGCGCGCTCCTTGGGCGAGTTGGGGCGCCTGCGCGCTGCGCTCGCGTTTCAGGTCGCGCGGAGCTGTCGTGGGAGTAGAAACCTCTCGCAGTAGAAACTGCTGACAGGAGCTTTGAGAGGGGGGGTGGGGAGGGAGGGGGGGGGAGGGGGTAGAAACTGCCGAACAACAGGAGCTTGGGGGGGGAGGAGGGGGGGGTGGTAGAGACTGCTGATAGTCTCATCATCCTCGCCGATCAGAGGATTCCTTGTCGCAGTAGAAGCTGCTGACTTCCGAAGTCTAAGCGGAAGCTCCGACTCCACTCGGAGTTGTACTATTTTCTACACACGGCCCTTAGGAGATACTCGATGTTCGAGTTCACTTCCTGTTCCTCGGGAAGAAAAATGGCCGTGATCCGCACGCGAAACGGTGTTACCCCGTGGGCGGTTCTCGCGAGCAGCGCCGCCGGTGTCGCCGCCGCCGCGCTGCTGGTCGCGTGTCTGCTGAGCGGCGGCAGCAGGGCGAACTTCGCGGAGGCGCAACCCGCGTCGCCGCAAATGGTCGTTCCGACTGTTACGCCCCTGGCTAAATCAGGAAGGGATTTTCCCCCGTTGGATCCTGACTGGGAGGCGCAGATGCAGTCAATCATCCAGCAGGTGGCGAATCAGAAGGAGCTCTCCTCATTTGCCCAGATTTTCTCTAACCAATGTGAGTTTCCAACCTTTCTGTACCCATTTCTTACCAATTCGCTCTCACTCTGACCGAATATACACTTGCTCGTGCATCTTGTTCTTATCCTTAATGATGTTCTTCCCCCATGCTCCCTCTCTTGCACAATCCTTTATCACCTCCCTCCCCATTAACCTCTCCCCTCTTCTATACTCTCCTCCCCCCTCCCCACTCCCCCTCCTCACTCCCCCTCCCCTCCCTCCCCCGGCCTCCCAGTTTTCTCTTTCGATCTGAACATCTGTTCATCAGTCAAACGCAACTCTCCCATCCCCACACACGATGGCCGCTGGAGCCACCTCACTCAGTGTCTGATTCATCTGATGCCTTCCGTTCCTATCCTTTTTATTACCTCCCCCCCTCTCCCCAATCTTCTCTCTGCCAGTCAAAACAGAGCAGCTGTACATCGATCGGAATGCAACCATCCTCATCCCCACCAACGTCGGCTACTGGCGCTTCGAAAGCCGGTGGGACACTCTCTCCCGCAGACAGAAGCGCCGGTTACTCCGTTACCACATTCTCAAGGGACGTTACACCGCGGGGCAGCTCCTAAGTGCTGCTCCGGACACCCTCTTCCCTACTCTTAACATGAACCTGCCGGTAAACAAGACTTTTAAGGCGAACGTAGTGCCTTTCCAGTCATATTTGACGAGGGTCGTGACGTTGCTGACCGTGGCGAATGCCGGGCAGACAAATAATTTCGCTGCGCATGGGGTTACAATGGTGCTCCTGCCGCCCAACCTCAACTGCACCCGGTCTTCTTGCAGTGACGAATCCATTAAGTTAAATTAGAATCCTTTGGTTTTTGAGTTTAGAGAGAGAATAAATCAGGGGGGATGGAGTGATGCTTGATGAATGTTGTAACGACCTTAAATGGCACGGTATGTGAATATAATGAGGGACTACATTACAGTGCCAATGTTGAAAGAAAGTCTCTGGACGTTGATCAGAGTACCATACCTTATGTTGAAGCAGGATCTTGGATGAGTTTTGTAGCTACGGTAATTTGGAGAACTTCTTGTTCTGTAGGAGTTTTGTAACAGTGCGTGTATGGTATCCGCTTCGCCACATCGCGCACGGTTTAATCGGCGACTGAGTGCGACATTAATTGCTACCATGTAAACTTCCGCTCGAAACGGCGATACGCACCAAACCAGAGTACGGAGCGGGAGACGAAACGACACCAGCTGTTACCAAATTCCCGTCGTACTAACGCCTCCAATCTTAGGTCTCGATTCGGCCTGCTCGTCACCCGCGAAACCTTCGTTTATCCTGCTTTCAATTCGCGCTCCCCTCGCCCATTCCGCAATTCGCCCCACATTCGCCCCCACCCAACCCATTCACCCCCTCCCTACTGCTGTGTGTCTCAATTTCTCTCAACCTTCGTCTCTTGTCCCTTCCTACTAAATAAAGCCGACAATAACCCTGTCATTGCGGATGCATCTCGCAGATCGCGGGTATCGCGCGAGTATCCATCTCGCCTGTATGAGAGGATAATTCGAGAGCCGAGGACTCGAAATGCCGGGCGCGAGGCAGCAGCAACTTCTCCGCTGCAGCGCGCCGATGCTGCGGGATCTCGGCTGTGGCCGTAGTTGTCGAATATCGTAATAGAAAGGATAGAGTGTATTCGGCAAAGCGACAAAATCAGTCAGTTGCTGGCCTGCTTGAGTGAATCAACAATCATCACTAGGCTGAACAACATTCCAGCTCTTAACCGTCGACCGTTGAAACTAAAGCCGTCACCGGTTGCGCCGGGCCTCTCTGCGCGTCCGATGAGGGGGAAACAGGCGGAGACAGGCGGAAACAGGCGGAAACAGGCGGAAACAGGCGGAAACAGGTGGAAACTGGCGGAAACAGGCGGAAACAGGCGGAAACAGGCAGAAACTCACCGCTCCTTGCGCCGGGCCTAAAGCTGCCACCAGTTGCGCCGGGCCTGTCCGCGCGGACATTCACCACTCTTTCCCCCCGTTCTCGCCAACACCTCCTCCTAAAATGCTCTCGACTCCCTCGAATACCGAGCCGATACGACAGACGAAGGTTGCCTTGCGCGCCCTCGCGATACGATCCAGACAATCAGACTAGTTAGTTCCGGCAACGTGGCGGTAAGACGCGATGAGTGAAGATCACTTACTCATCATGCTCGCTGCGCTGCGCGCGGGTTCAACAAGCCGGGGGGCCAGGGTGGGCTGTGTATATAGGTAGCAAGCGTAAGGTACTAGGTCACCCACACCATCCGCGCCCCTGCAATAAAAGCTGCTGGCGTTTTCAGCTCGAAGTTCACCGGGAAAGGCATTTCTCTTCAAGAGAAGAGTAGAAAAGAGTAACTACTCACCTTTTGAGAGGACTGTTTGCTCGAGTTTTCGAGTTCTCTTCCTTTTCCTCGGGACGAAATGGCCATCCGCTCGCGAAATACGGTTACCCCATGGGCGGCTCTCGCGAGCAGCGGCGTCGCTGCGCTGCTGACCGCGTGTCTGCTGAGCGGCAGCGGGGCGAACTTCACGGAGGCGCAACCCGCGCCGGCGCAAATGGTCGTGCCGACTGCTGCGGCGGCGGCTGGATCATGGCCCCCGCCGGATCCTGGTTGGGAGGAGCAGATGGAATCAATAATCCAGCAAGTGGCCAATAAGACGTCTCTCTCCTCCTTCGCCCAGATCTTCTCCAACCACTGTGAGAGTTCCCAACCGTTCTGAACCTTCCTGTACCCATGTCTCATCAAGTAGCTCTCACTCTGAGCCAATGTTCACTTGCTCCCTCGTGTATCTCGTTCTTATCCTTCCTGATCTTCTTCCCCTGTGCTGTCAGCTCACCTTTCTAGTAAGCTTCTTCACCACCCCCTCGTCCACGTGCGGCAGCTGCAGCAGAGCAGCAATGCCCTCCGCACTGCCCCCCTTGTCCGTCTGCTTGCGGGCCGACAGCGGCACGGCCTGATAGAAGCTCTGAGAGAGCTCGATTGCTCCCACTGCTGGCCGCAACCAGGCGTAGCCAACCGGGGGGCGAGGGTAGAGAGAGATCTGTGGAAAAACGCAGGGTTGGGTGAGATGTAGAGGGAGGGATGACAGGCAGAGCGGAAGGGGAAGTATTGGTGGTGAGTAGACCAAGGCACGGCCTGATAGAAGCTCTGGGAGCTCGATTGCTCCCACTGCTGGCCGCAACCAGGCGTAGCCCACAGGGGGACGAGGGTAGAGATAGATCTGGGGAGGGGTGGGGTGGTGGGGTGGCACAACAGACGGAGCCACATGGAAAGTACTGGGGATGTGAGCCGACAGCGGCACAGCCTGATAGAATCTCTGGGAGAGCTCGATGGCCCCCACTGCTGGCCGCAACCAGGCATGCCCCACAGGAGGACGAGGGTACAGAGAGATCTGTGGGGCAGGAAAGAGGAGGAGAGCACGTGGCGAAGGAAAGAGTGGGCTGGCCGGGGGTTGGGGGGTGGGGGGGTGGGGAAAAGCATCAATGCGGATCCAACAGTGGCATGGCTTGGTAGAAGCATGGAGAGGAACGGGCGGAGGGGAGAAGGAAGAGTTCCTCCTCGGAACTTACATAGCTCAGAGGAAGAGAGAGAAGGAAGTTTGTCGCAGAGGGGGCATACGAGGGAACGGGCGGAGGGGAAAAGCAGGCACCTCATCGAGTCCTGTTCGCCTTATAAGAGCAACGCCAAACAACCACACAACGCACCTTGATAAGCTCCTCCATGAGCCGTGGCGTGAGCTTCAGAATGGTATTGAAGTCCTTCCTCAGCTCAGGTGGAACCAAGTCTGCCTGCCGTGTGAGCTGCGCCAGCAGCAGCAGCTCCACCTGCAAGTGACAAGGGCGAAAGAAGGAGGCAGGGATGCAGGGAGGAAATGTGTGGGCTTCACATTGGTTGATTTGGCTCACATCTTTGGTGACAAATAGTCTTTGGTAACAAATAGTCTGCTCAGCGTGCTTCAAACACCAATGTTCAATGTTCGGTGGCTCAAAATTCAGGGTTCAAATTCGCTTTTGAGTCGACTCAAAATTCAGGGTTCAAATTCTAAGCTTGCAAATAATTTCAGGGCTTAGGGTGGAAATTATTTTTCAGAATTCTCAAAGGTAAATCTGGGCTTGCAAGTAAGTTTCAGGGTTCAGGGTTGAAGGTTCAGATGAGGCTTACCTTCCGAAGATCAGCAAAGGAAAATCACCTTAATGAGAGCGGGGAAGCGAGTCCAGAACTTCTTGGTCTCCTGCTTGAGGTTCTTGGGGTCGAGGTTGAGCTCATGGCGCACGAGGGAGAAGACTTTCTGCATCGGCTCCACGTCCGACCCGCGCACCTTCATTTCTAAGAACTCCATTGCCTTTGTCAGGACATCTATCACCTTGCTGTGGGGGCGCACAAAGGGAGGGAGGAATGAGGAAGGGGAGAGAGAGGAGAAAGGGGAGGTGGGGTCGAGGTTGAGCTCAGAGCGCACGAGGGAGAAGACTTTCTGCATGGGCTCCACTCCACGTCCGACCCGCGCACCTTCATCTCCAGAAGCTCCATTGCCTTGGTGAGCACATCGATCACCTTGCTGCGTCGCACCAAGGGAGGGAGGAATGGGGATGGGGAAAAGAGGGAAAAGGGGGGTGGGTTCGAGCCTTGAGGTTGAGCTCAGAGCGCACGAGGGAGAAGACTTTCTGCATGGGCTCCAGATCCGATCCGCGCACCTTCATTTCAAGGAACTCCATTGCCTTCAGTCAACACGTCTATCACCTTGCTGTGAAATACCAAACAGGGAAACGAAAGAGGGGGAGAGCAGGGGCATGGAGTTGCATGGGCTCCACTCCACGTCCGGCCCGCGCACCTTCATCTCTAGGTGTAAACAGAAGTGTTTTGAGACGTCTCCAAACACTTCTGTTTACACCTAGAGCATGGGCTCCACGACCAACCCGCGCACCTTCATCTCTAGGAATTCCATGGCTTTGGTCAGCACATCGATCACATTGCTGTGGTGCACCCATTCTAACCCCTTCACCCCCCCCACACCCCCCACCCCCCTCCCTTACCCCTCCCTTCTTCTATCCTCTCCGACCTCTCCCCCCTCGCCACTCCCCTTCCCCTGCCTCCCCCTCCCCCCAAAATTCTCTCTTTTATCTGTTTCTCTGAACGCATCGTTCCCCATCCCTTCAAACGAGGACTACTGTTGCTACCTCACGCAGTGCCTAATTGCTCTTATGCCTTCCATTCCTATCCTTTTTATCACCTCTCCCCCTCTCCCCAATCTTCCAGTCAAAACCCAACAGGTGTTCCTCGATCGGAATGCAACCATCCTCATCCCCACAAACGTCGGCTACTGACGCTACGAAACCAAGTGGGACACTCTCGAGCCAAAGCAGAAGCGCCGGGTTCTCCGTGACCTCATTCTCAAGGGGCGTTACACAGCGCGGCAGCTCCTAAGTGATGCTCCGGGCACCCTCTTTCCGACTATTAACCAGAACATGCCGGTAAACAAGACTTCTAAGCCGAACGGAGTGTATTTCCAGTCGGTTCTGACGAGTGACACGACGTTGCTGAGCGTGCCGAATGCAGGGCTGACGAGAAATTTCGTTGCGCATGGAGTGACATTGGTCCTCCCGCCGCCCAACCTCAAGTGCTTCTGGGCTTCTTGCAGTGACCATATGGTTTCAGTACCAACATCCTTTGGTTAGTGAAGTGATGCTGGATGAAAGTTCCAACGACCGTAAAATGGTAAGGTATGTGATTAAAAGAGGGACTAAGTTTTTTAGCGTCCCAATGTTGCAAAAATGCCTCAAGCATTTGAAAATTACATTGCTATTTTCAACCACCCCAACGAAGCTTGATTACGGTATTATACAACCAAACCTTACATGTCCTAATCATACGAATAAGGTACATATTTTCAACATTTGAGATACAGTGACAAAATGTTTGATGGCCTCAACATGTGCAGTTTTCTACACTTCCTTACTCTCCACGTGGATAGTTACCGTAGAAGGAATGAGTGTGACAGATTCGGGCGAACACCTCAGTAACGAGATTGCACCAATCGGCTAGCTGACCGCGCTGTGAGCAACCAATGTTGTCACATGCCGCGCTCTCCCGAACGAAATGGACAGCCAATTAGTATGAAGCACCAGAATTACCACGATGTCGTACACGTAACACAGTTCGCTTCTCCAGTTTTGGTCGGGGTGGCACGGGTTGGGTCAGGGTGGACATCTCACACACTTCGTCAGACCCTTGAGAACTCTGTTAAGCCCATTGTTTCAGGGTCGTGTTCTAAATAGGATCCAGACATGAAAGAGTCAAACGTGCCAGGTCGACTTCATATCCTTAATCATCAAGGACTACTATTTGGCGATGAAGTTCACTTTGAGGGCGAGTGCTGAGTACGACCACGGCTGAGAAGCAATTGTTCAAGAGATGAAACGGATGCGGCGAACGCGGACTTGTGCACCTGATTGTGTCCCATGAGCCTGTCCTAATTCGCGGTTCACATTCTTTCAGGCTAGTTTTCCCAACACTGTTTTGGTCTTTAGCGCTGTCCATTCGCCTCTCCGCGTTCGACGGTATGGTCAAGCGCTAAAGCGTCTGCTACTTTAGTGTTTCCGTGAATTTTCGTCCTCCCTTCTACCGCTTGAAGCCTCACACGGTTCCCCATGCCGTTTCATCAAGCAGTATTCGCAGCCTCATACCCGTTAGAGGCAGAAGCGTGACGGGATCGCGTTAACGTGAAAACGGTAGGGAACGGTCAGGTTACCGCCTTGCACGGCTCCGTTTGTCTTCTTTTATGGAGTCTTTTAACCATGCCACTACTGCCTCTGGTCTTTCAGTGACGAATCCTTACAGTAAGGCCGTCCCCTCTAGTTCCTCCAATCCCTCTGGTCTCCCTAGTCCAATATCTAGTTCATTCTCAAGCTCGTTAAATAGGCCTTGCACTACCACCTCCTCTGTACGTCGTTCCTCGTCTCCTCGTGCCTTTTCCGAAATCCGAATCTCGCCGCGCCAATCCGCTCGTCATCACTCAACTTCTCCTTATCGCGGACAGAGTGTAGCAGCTGCTAATGCTATAGCTAGAACCAGCGACACCATAGCGGGTTTCAAATTCGTCGCGTCCGGCACAGGACGGCCGGAATTGAGGGTCGGTAACCCCTCTCCTGACAGCACATTTCGTGCATCACGACAGTATACAGTACGCGAATTGACAGTATACAGTACGCGAATTTACAGTACGCGAATTTACAGTACGCGAACCTACAGCTTGCAAATGCGAATCCGCAGCGGGTACGAAAAAACTGTCGATTCGCTCGCCATTTCTCGGCTGTAGCGAAAAACACGACCATCTATTACTCGACTCTCAGACTGGCTCAGCCGCAAGCCCGATGCCGTTCCGGCCACTAGGAGCGCGTGTTCGCTGCCACGTCACCGCCCAAGCACGCGCTTCCACCAACCAGCAGGGTTCGGATCGGCCGGCGCTACTCCCGTCCTCCCTCCAGCCCAGATTCGGTGGCCGAACCTGCAGGCTCGGGGTAGCTCCAGCAGCTATCGGTCCCCAGCCAAGGAGTTTTCTAGGTTTGGGGGAAACTGGTGCGCTGGGAGGGGGGAATGGGGGAGGGGGGAATGGGGAAGGGGGGAGTTCCGCTGGGGGAGCTGCTTCCGCCTCTACCGCCACAACTTTATCTGCTGCCCGTTCCCAGACCCCTGACCGGCCTCAGCCATCCCTGGCCCGCCACGTGGCACGAAGCCTGCCCGTGGCGGTGCTGAGCGAGCTCGTGGCAGCTGCGGCTACAGCAGGAGGTACAGCCGCTACAGCCGCAGCCAATAGCGGGCTGCCAGCTCACGCGGGGCATCTGGCGATTCCTGCTACAGCCGTGACGCCTGTAGCAGTGACGGCGCTAGCAGCTATATACGGAGCTTACCTGTCAGATAACCTGCTGGGACGGCAGAAGCAGCCGCCAAAAACAGGTAACAGGCTGGGGTGACGCCATTTTTTTATGGCCAGAAGTGACGATAACTCGATCACTTGTGCCTGCCTGATTGCTTTTGCCTCTGCCTTCAGCTGGTTTTACGGCCAGAAGTGACAAACAGGTAACAGGCTGGGATAACTCGATTGATTGTGCCTGCCTGATTACTTGTGCCTGTCTGATTGCTTTTGCCTCTGCCCCCAGCTGCCTCTTCCCCACGTTCCGTCTACCCGTTTTCACTTTTCCTTTCATCCGCCCCCTCCGTTGTTCGTTCGTCCCTTTCTCCTTGCCCCCCACCCACGCATGTCCCGAATCTGTGCTGCTCAGAGCCGTTGATCATCGAGTCAGTGGACGTCACAGATTACCCCATCTTCAGGCACCCAGAGGTGCTGCGGGCTGTGGAGTTCGCCAGGGACGCCCACTGGGACCAGTACCGCAAGACAGGCGAGCCGTACGTCAACCACTGCGTTCACACTGCTCGCATCCTGGCAGCGCTGGTGCCGCCCCAGGGCAAGAAGGTGCGTGTGTCTGGCTCTGCTCTGTGTGGGTGGTTCTGTGCTGCGAGCAGTTGAGCTCGCCAGGGATGCGCACTGGGACCAGTACCGCAAGACAGGCGAGCCGTATGTCAACCACTGCGTGCACACTGCTCGCAACCTCTGTGTGTGTGGCTCTGTGCGCGTCTCTCTCTCGCATGACTCGTCTCAGCAGCTGTATGTCAACCACTGCGTGCACACTGCTCGCATCCTCGCTGCACTGGTGCCGCCCCAGGGCAAGAAGGTGTGTATGTGTCTCTGTGTGTGCGTGGCTCTGTGTGTGTGGCTCTGTGTGGGTGGCTCTGTGCGCGTCTCTCTCTTGCATGACTCGTCTCAGCAGCCGTACGTGAACCACTGCACGCATCCTGGCTGCCCTGGTGCCGCCCCCGGGCAAGTAGATGACACACTTTCAGGTTCAACTGTCCAATATAAAAAAACTGAGAGAGAAAAAATAAATCCTTCCCCATCTTTCTCTCCTCACCTCCAGGCGGTGGATGCCGTGGTGGCAGCAGTGCTGCATGCCATTGTGGATGAGTTGTCCCGTAAGATTCTCAAAACTCCATCCGCATCTGCTTCCCTCCCCCATCCCTCTCTCCTCCTCTCCAGGCAGTGGATGCTGTGGCAGCAGCAGTGCTGCATGAAACACTTTCAGGTTGATTGAAGCGTAAAACAAGAGCCAAAAAAAGCCTTTCCCATCCCTCTCTTCTCCTCAACTCCAGGCGGTGGATGCTGTGGTGGCAGCAGTGCTGCATTAGATGCTTTTGGCGGGTTTAGGTATTCAAGAAAGCACTCAGAACTCCTCCCCCATCCCTCCCTTCTCCCCACCTCCAGGCAGTGGATGCTGTGGTGGCAGCAGTGCTGCATGACATCGTGGATGACACGCCCTACGCCGCTTTCAGCAGGCTTAGGCATTCAGAAGAGCACTCAAATCTCCTATTCAATCCTTCTCTCCTCCCCAGGCAGTGGATGCGGTGGTGGCAGCAGTGCTGCATGACATTGTGGACGACACACCCTACGACATTGCTGACGTGGAAATGCTCTTCGGTGCTGACGTGGCACAGCTGGTGGATGGCGTGTCTCGCCTCAGCCACATCAACCAGGCATGCCACCAGCCACATGCTCGTACTTGGTCTCGTTCCCACCTCGTTCCCACTTCGTTCCCACCTCCTTCTTGGCCTAACCTCCCACCAGAACCAGCCTCCTACTTGACCCGGCCTCCTTGCCAACTCCCCTCCACCACTCCCCCCCCCTCTCCCCCACTCCCCGCTCCCCTGCTCCCCCACTCGCTTGCTCCCCTTTTACCCGCACTTCCGCCCTCCCCCTTCTTCGTGCAACCTCACTGTGCCCATTGCCCCCCACCGTCACCCCCCTTCCCCACTTCGTCCCGCTCCATTTGACTCTCAACTCTACGTCAGCTGTCTTGTGGCCTGAAACCCAACTCCTTTTTCGCCATGCTGCCCATTTGTTTGGCTCTCAAAGCTGTTGTCGTCTCTCTTGCCCCCGTACTTGTGTGATGCGCCATCACCCTAATCCCCCAACTCCCCTACTCTACCCCTCAATGCGGACCCTCATGCTCATCTCCCTGCAATCTTCGTCTCCTCCCCTACTTGCCCCACTCTCCCCGCCCCTGTATTGTGCCTGCTGCTGCAGTTGTTGCGCCGCCACCGCAGGGCTACGGCAGAGCAGAGAGCACAGGAGAACACAGGACTTAGTTCAGCAGACGTAAGTGCTTCTCTCAACCTGTCCACTGTATGTGCATCTGGTTACAGCATAAAATGTCTTAGAATGATCTCTGAGGCGCCTTAAAAGTCATGTCCACTGTACGTGCATCTGTTTATGGCATATAATGTCTTACAATAATCCCCTTCGTCCTCGTCCCCCCTTCCCCTGCTCATCCATTTTTTCCTCCATTTGCCCCCCTCTCCATTCCCCCCCACACTCGGTTTTCCCACTCCTTCCCCCTCCTCCTCCCACTCCCCCTCCTCCCCGGCCCTCGTTATTACTACTTCAGGTGGACAGCCTGAGAACGATGCTGCTGGGCATGGTGAACGATCCCCGAGTGGTTCTCATCCGTCGCCCGACATTTCCCTCTTCCCCTCCCATCTTCTCCCTCCCCTGGCTGGCTGCCTCTCGTTATGGTCACACCTTGACCAGGTGGACAGCCTGAGAATGATGCTGCTGGGCATGGTGAACGATCCCCGAGTGGTGCTCATAAAGCTGGCGGACAGGCTGCACAACATGCGCACGATGTGAGTGTATATACATGTGATGCAAATGAAGCCTGTGAGTGAGTGACACAGGTGAAGCATGTGAGAAGTCCATGTGACTCATACGTAGAGGCACCTGGGCATGGTCACAGGGTGATGACCCTCGGGTGGTGGTGCTCATAAAGCTGGCAGACAGGCTGCACAACATGCGCACCATGTGAGCGTGAGATGCAAACAGCATGGGGCAGGGGCATGTGACTCATGTGACAGAAGCACCTGGGCATGTGACTCATGTGACAGAAGCACCTGGGCATGTTGACAGGAGGGTGAACGACCCTCGAGTGGTGCTCATAAAGCTGGCAGACAGGCTGCACAACATGCGCACCATGTGAGTGTGTGGCTCAGTGGAGTGCTGTCCAAGTGAAGCTTACAAGACTGGCGCGTGACTGGTTTGATAGAGGCAGCTGGGTATGGTCAACGACCCTCGAGTGGTGCTCATAAAGCTGGCGGACAGGCTGCACAACATGCGCACCATGTGAGTCTTGCCATGTGTTTTGAGCTACATGCGTAGAACCTGTGCTGCGATACAAGCGAAGCATGTGGCTGTGTGCATGTAACACAAACGAAGCATGTGTATGTATGTGCATGTGTGTGCGCGCAAACGCGCGCGCGCGAGAGCGCGTGCGTGCGTGCGTGCTGTGGAGTGGAGTAGGTTGGGGTGGATCGGAGAAAAGAAATATCTGCACTCCTGGGACGGGATTATTCTGTTGCACAGGAAGAAGGAATGGGAAGAGGGGGAGGGGGTGGAGGGGGAGGGCGTGAGCTGGGTGAGGGGGGAGGGAAGCACACAGAGAGGAAGGCGCGCGCGATTTGGTCCACGCCTTGGTCCAGGGCGCTTGGACAAAGTCGCGCGCGCCTTTGTCCACGCGCGCGCCCTGGTCCACGTGCGCGCCAGGGTCCGTGCGCGCGCCTTGGTCCGCGCGCGCGCCTTGGTCCGCTCGTGCGCCTTGGTCCTCGCGCGCGCCTTGGTCCTCGCGCGCGCCTTTACTGCTTTCACCCTTTCTTGTTTCTCACCCTTAACTGTTTTCACCCTTCTTCTACTTCTTTCCCCTTCCTTCTCCCCCGTCCCTCAGCTACGCACTGAAGGACAGCAAGGCACGGGCAGTGGCACAGGAGACACTTTCCATCTGGTGCTCCCTGGCCTCTCTATTCTGCCTGTTGCCCATTCTCTCGTATTCTCTGCGGCTGCTTCCTCTTCCCCTCTCCCCCTCCCAGCTACGCACTGAAGGACAGCAAGGCACGGGCAGTGGCACAGGAGACGCTGTCTGTCTGGTGCTCCCTCGCCTCTCGCCTCGGTGTGTGGGCCGTGAAATCAGAGCTAGAAGACTTATGCTTCGCGGTGCTGGAGGTGAGTATGTCTTGGGGTGGGATGATAACCATGAGCTGCCTCTCTCTGTGTGTGTACCTCGGTGTGTGGGCCGTGAAAGCCGAGCTAGAAGACGTATGCTTCGCAGTGCTGGAGGTGAGTTTGTCGTGGGTTCTTATCTTGTTACACACCTGCCTCCCTCTCTGTGTTTGTGCCTCGGTGTGTGGCCCATGAAAGCCGAGCTGGAGGACCTCTGCTTTGCGGTGCTGGAGGTGAGCGCGGCTAACTACACAAAGAGGTGACTGTCCGTAGTGTTAGAAATAGTCAGTCAACACTTTGTACTATATTCTATATCGGTTAGGTTACTTTGTAGGTTGGGTGTAGATTTGTAATCCCAACCCTATCTGGTTGGGATTCCCTCGTAATCCTGCAAATCTGCCAACTCACCAATTGGAGATTTGCTAGGATTCCCATCCCATCCTTTCCCTAGCTTTGCTCAACCCAACCCTGTTTGTACTTAAGGCCTAGTGCCTTCCTTATCAAGCAATCAGTTCAGTTCCAATTCTATCACGTAGCAGCTGGGGTCTGTGCGTGTGTGTGTGTGACTATGCAAGGGTGACTTAGCTCTCGGGTCTCTCGTTTCGCCTCACGCCTTGAAGCGAGCTGGCCACCATGTGGAGCTCCCCTGAGGACTGGCGGTTGCGCCTGCGCCCCATCCCCTGCCTCCTTTCCCCCTTCCCCTGCCTCCTTTCCCCCTTCCCCTGCCTCCTTTCCCCCTTCCCCTGCCTCCTTTCCCCCTTCCCCGGCATCCTTTCCCCCTTTCCCCCTTCCCCTGCCTCCTTTCCCCCTTTCCCCCTTCCCCTACCTCCTTTCCCCCTTTCCCCCTTCCCCTGCCTCCTTTCCCCCTTTCCCCCTTCCCCTGCCTCCTTTCCCCCTTTCCCCCTTCCCCTGCCTCCTTTCCCCCTTTCCCCCTTCCCCTGCCTCCTTTCCCCCTTTCCCCCTAAACCACCCCCCCAGCCGCGCATATTCCGCCAATTGCGGGGCGAGCTGGCCACCATGTGGAGCTCTCCTGAGGACTGGCAGTCACTCAGAGGGAAGGGAAATGTCTATTCCTCACAACCCTTCCCGCTCCTTCCCTTACCGCATTCAACCCCACTCCGGCCACGCATATTCAGGCAGCTGAGAGGCGAGCTGGCCACCATGTGGAGCTCCCCGGAGGACTGGCGGTCACCTCCCGCCTGCGCCCTCTTCACCTCCCTCCTTCCCTCTTCACCTCCCTCCTTCCCTCTTCACCTCCCTCCTTCCCTCTTCACCTCCCTCCTTCCCTCTTCCCCCCCTAAAACACCACTCCAGCCGCGCATCTTCCGCCAGCTGAGGGGCGAGCTGGCCACCATGTGGAGCTCCCCGGAAGACTGGCGGTCGCTGAGAGAGCGCCTGCGCCTCCGCCGCCGCCCTGCCCGCCCCCCCGCTGCTGCCGCTGCCGGGAGTGCTTCTGGTGATAGTGCTGCTGCTGATGCTGCAGATGGTGGTGTTGCTGCTGCGATTCCTGCTGGGGACAGCAGCGTGTCTGCATACCACCGTAGCGGCATGGATAGTGACAGTGACAGCGACAGCGAAGGTGGGAGTGGGGGTGACTGGGAGTTTTTTGGCTTTGGGCGGCGGGTGGGCAGAGGTGGGTCGCTGAGTGGAGGGGGCAGCTCCAGCAGCACCAGCAGCGGCAGCAGCGGCAGTGCAAGTGGCAGTATCACCAGCAGCACTAGCACTAGCAGCAGCAGCTCCAGCAGTGGCAGCAGTGGCAGCAGCGGCAGCAGCAGAGCCGCAGGGATGGATGGTGCTGCTCCAATCACACAGCAGCAAACTCCAGAGAGTGAATCCCCCATAGATGAACCTGAGAAAGGTCTCATTCACTTCATCACACATGCAGGATCAGCAGAGAAAGGCGGCACCAAGAAAGGCACCACCAGCGGCAGCACTCAGAAAGGAAAAGGGAGCAGTGGCACTACACAGGGAAAATGTTCCACTCAAGGGAACAGTCTCACAAAAGGTGCCAAGAGCAGCAGTGTGCTTATAGCAAATGAGTTCCTATCCATGGTTGCTGCAGCAGAGGGAGCAGTGCTGGATGCGGTGCCAGGTGGCAAGCTGCTACAGGGCGCAAGGGACGAGGAGGGGGAGGAGGGGGAATCAGAGCCGTCGGTTCGGGATTTGATCGAAGCTGTGGTGCCGTTCGATCTGCTGGCGGATAGGAACAGACGATCCAGGGCAGTGGCTTGGCCTGTTGCTGCTAGTAGAGCTGCTACTGGTGCTGGTGCTGCTACCACCGGAGGTGGAACAAGTGGTACTGATGGTACAACCAGTGGTTCCAGTGGTGCGGGTAGTGGTGGTGGTGTGAGTGTTGCTGCAAATGGCACCACAAGTGGCACAGCAAGTGGGGGGGGTGTGAGGAGGAGGAGGACGAGGGTGATGCGTGATGCAGAGGTGGCGCTCACGGCTCTGCACGGCTGCGAGGAGGCACTGCAGCGAGAGCTCCTTATAACAACCCCGTGAGTGCTGCTAGTAGTGGTGTGGCTAATGGGGCTAGTGGGGCTGCAAGCAAGCAGAGGGGGTGATACGTGATGCAGAGGTGGCTCTCACGGCGCTGCATGGCTGCGAGGAGGCACTGCAGGGAGAGCTGCTCATCACCACCCCGTAAGTGTGCTTATCATTGCACTAAGAGTGCGCTTATCACCACCCCTTGTCTGTGTGCTCATCCCCCTTACTCCCTCTTGCTACCATGCACTCCAGCTACGTGCCTGGCATGGAGATCGTCCTATCTGGGCGCCTCAAGAGCATGTACAGCTGCCATGCCAAGATGCGGCGCAAGCGGGCGTAGGTGTGTCACACAGGGCGCCCAACCCCCACTCTCCTATCTCGCCCCTCTCCCCCTTTTCATGCAGCTATGTACCTGGGATGGAGATCGTCCTCTCCGGCCGCCTCAAGAGCATGCACAGTGCCATGCCAAGATGCACTGTGCTGTGAGGCAGGTACTGGTGGGTTTCATAGCAAGTCCAACCCCTCCTTCCACCTCCCTCCCACCCCCCAATGCAGCTACGTGCCTGGGATGGAGATAGTCCTGTCTGGTCGTCTCAAGAGCATGTACAGCTGCCATGCCAAGACACACTGTGCTCTGTCCCTCCTGTTTCCCCCCCCTCGTCCCTCATGCAGCTACGTGCCTGGGATGGAGATAGTTCTTTCAGGCCATCTCAAGAGCATGCACAGCTGCCATGCCAAGATGCGGCGCAAGCGGGCGTAGGTGTGTCACACAGGGCGCCCAATCCCCACTCTCCTATCTCGCCCCTCTCCCCCTTTCATGCAGCTACGTGCCTGGCATGGAAATCGTCCTCTCTGGGCGTCTCTAGAGCATGTACAGCTGCCACGCCAAGATGCGGCGCAAGCGGGCATAGGTGTGTCACACAGGGCGCCCAACCCCCACTCTCCTATCTCGCCCCTCTCCCCCTTTCATGCAGCTACGTGCCTGGCATGGAAATCGTCCTCTCTGGGCGTCTCAAGAGCATGTACAGCTGCCATGCCAAGATGCGGCGCAAGCGGGCGTAGGTGTGTCACACAGGGCGCCCAATCCCCACTCTCCTATCTCGCCCCTCTCCCCCTTTCATGCAGCTACGTGCCTGGCATGGAAATCGTCCTCTCTGGGCGTCTCTAGAGCATGTACAGCTGCCACGCCAAGATGCGGCGCAAGCGGGCATAGGTGTGTCACACAGGGCGCCCAACCCCCACTCTCCTATCTCGCCCCTCTCCCCCTTTCATGCAGCTACGTGCCTGGCATGGAAATCGTCCTCTCTGGGCGTCTCAAGAGCATGTACAGCTGCCATGCCAAGATGCGGCGCAAGCGGGCGTAGGTGTGTCACACAGGGCGCCCAATCCCCACTCTCCTATCTCGCCCCTCTCCCCCTTTCATGCAGCTACGTGCCTGGCATGGAAATCGTCCTCTCTGGGCGTCTCTAGAGCATGTACAGCGGCCACGCCAAGATGCGGCGCAAGCGGGCATAGGTGTGTCACACAGGGCGCCCAACCCCCACTCTCCTATCTCGCCCCTCTCCCCCTTTCATGCAGCTACGTGCCTGGCATGGAAATCGTCCTCTCTGGGCGTCTCAAGAGCATGTACAGCTGCCATGCCAAGATGCGGCGCAAGCGGGCGTAGGTGTGTCACACAGGGCGCCCAATCCCCACTCTCCTATCTCGCCCCTCTCCCCCTTTCATGCAGCTACGTGCCTGGCATGGAAATCGTCCTCTCTGGGCGTCTCTAGAGCATGTACAGCTGCCACGCCAAGATGCGGCGCAAGCGGGCATAGGTGTGTCACACAGGGCGCCCAACCCCCACTCTCCTATCTCGCCCCTCTCCCCCTTTCATGCAGCTACGTGCCTGGCATGGAAATCGTCCTCTCTGGGCGTCTCAAGAGCATGTACAGCTGCCATGCCAAGATGCGGCGCAAGCGGGTGCCTCTGGACAAGATCTACGACGCACGGGCGCTGCGGGTGGTGGTGGGGGATGCTAACGGGACGCAGCACGAGGCGGCAGTGGAAGCTTGTTACAACCTGCTCAGCGTGGTGCACAGGTGGGTGGGTCTAATCCATGTGCACAGGTCTCCCTCCCCTTCTCTCTCCATCCCCCACTGCTTCTGATCATCTCCAATGGACATCTTCTGATGCTCACCCTCATTCGCACCTTCCTCTGCGCCTTCGTTTGCATCATCATCATCCGATCGCATCTCCCCTTCCTTTTGAGGCGCCTCAAAAGCCATCATCATCATCCGATCGCATCTCCCCTTCCTCCCTTTCTTCCTCTTCGTTTCTTCTCTTTCCCTCCTGCGTACCCTCTACACCAACCTCCTCACCGCCTCCTTTCCTCACCCCACTACTTCCTCTTCCAATTCCACTGTAGGTCGCTGCACTCTCATCACCACTACAAAATCCCCTTTGCTCTCCTTCTTACCCTTACACTCGGAGGATTTTGTAGTGGTGATGCAAGTGTACTGGGTACAGGGACCTGCGGTGGAGTTGGGGGAGGAAGGGGTGGGGTGTTAAAGGGAGGAGGTGAGGAGGTTAGTGTAGAGAGTACGCAGGATGGAAAGAGAGGAAACGAAGAGGAAGAAAGGGAGGAAGGGGAGATATGATGAGGTGATGATGGAGCAAACAAAGGCAATTTTTGAGGCGCCTCAAAAATCGTCTCAGGTGATGATGGAGCAAGCAAAGGCACAGAGGAAGGTGTAATTGAGGATGAGCATCAGAAAATGTCCATTGGAGATGATCAGAAGCAGGGGAAGATGGAGAGAGACGGGGAGAGGGAGAGGGAGGGGGAGAGGGAGAAGAAGAGGGAGATGGAGAGGGAGAGGGAGAGGGAGAGGTTAACTTGTGAGGCCTACCCTTCTCCCCTACATTTGTAATCTCTATTCTCAGCTTACCTTTACCCAGCGGGTGAGAGACAGATAGGTTAGCTTGTGAGGTATACCCTTCTCCCCTTGTATATAAGGCCCTGGAGCCTTGCTCCAGGGCTCATTCTTCATTTTCGTTCTCTTGCTCTTCCTTCCTTTCTCTTGCCCCCCCTATCTTCCTCTCACGCCATTCCCTTCCCTTCCACGCCTTCCATCCCTTCCTCCGCTGCCTCAATATCCTTCATTTCCGCCGCCCTCACACCTTCTCATTTCCATGCCTTCCTGCCCGTCCTCCCCTATCCCAATATCTCCTGCTCTCTGCCCTATTGCCTTCCCTTCCCACCTCTGATGCCATCTCACTTGTCACACCTTTCTGCCCTCCTCCTCTCCCGAAACCCCCCTGCTCCCAAACCAGTCTCTGGACTCCCATTGGTGGAGAGTTTGACGACTACATCCTCAATCCCAAGCCGAGCGGTTACCAGGTAACGCTGAGTTGTCACGTCAATGCGAGAATGGAATATTGATTTATTGAATGCAGCTATTGCAACCATTCCCTGAAAATTCGACTCTTAGCATATCAGACAATTTATTCGCTACTCACTCCTCTCCTTTGCATCCTCTTTCCCCCATCTCTGTCCTCTCTCACCAGTCACTCCACACGGCTGTCAGAGGTCCGGACGGAGCACCTTTGGAAGTGCAAATCCGCACTCAGGTGGGTTTCATGTTTATTACTGGCCCATTGTGCATCCATAGTTTTTTGCCTAAACCCTTGTGAAAAAAACAAAAACGAATAAATTCCCTATTTCCTTAGCTCCATCACTTTGCTAATGTGCCCTTTCATTCATCTCTCACGCTGCCTCTTCTCTTCTTCTTTCCCCCCCCCAGCGCCCCCCTCCCCCCCCTCCCCTTTGTTTTCCTCCCATCAACCCCCCAGACCATGCACGAGTATGCAGAGTTCGGGCATGCGGCTCACTGGCTGTACAAGGAGAGTGACACTCCTGACTCTGGTAGTATATCCGTCCATCTTTCCTACAAGGAGAGCTCATTCTCCCCGTCTCCCCCCTCCCTCCCCCCCAGTCCATGCACGAGTATGCAGAGTTCGGCCATGCAGCCCATTGGCTGTACAAGGAGAGTGATACTCCTGACTCTGCCCCATCTACAGAACCTGAATCGCCGTCCAATGAGAATGCGCCACCTGTACAATCAGGCAGCAATCAGCAGCAGCAGCAGGGTGGTTCATCAGCTTCCTCCTCCTCCTCCTCTCTCCTCTCCTCCTTCACTTCGTCTGTCTCCTCCTTCCTCTCCTCTCCTTCCCCTTCTGACCCTTCTGCTTCTGCTGGTGCTGCTTCTGATGCTGCTGCTGCTTCTGGTGTCGCTGAAAGCAGTCGGGAGAGGAGGCGGGGAACAGGCAAGTTCCAGCCGTTTTCAGCCACGGATTTTGAGAACCAACCGTTTGAGGGCATTGCCAGCAGCGGTATGACAGGGAGTGGCTCCAAAGGGGGAACGATGAGCAACAGGGGGAGAGAGAGCATTAAGGGTGGGACGCAGAGCAACAGGAGCAACAGTGGAAGCAGGGAGATCGTTGGAAGGAGTTTCAAAGGGGGGACGCAGAGCAACACAAGCAACAGTGGGAGTACGGAGATTTCTCAAGGGACTTCTAGGGGAGGGACTCAGAGCAATAGGAGCCTGCAAGGGAGGATGGCTGGTAGCAGCAGGGCGATCAGCAGCACCAGTGAGCGCACAGACGCTGCAACAGTGACAGTGGGGTCTCGTGGTTCGGAAGGGGAGATAGAGAAGCAGCAGCAGGAGCAGCAGCAGCAGCAGCAGGAGCAGGAGGAGCAGGAGGACAAATTGCGTAGATTTTTTAGTCAGCAGAGCCAGTCCAATGCTAATTCTTCCACTCTAAGTGTTGCTATAGAAATGGTATCATCACCATCACCATCACCATCACCATCACCATCACCATCACCATCACCATCACCAGCAGCAACACTGCCACAAGCAGCAGCAGCAATGCCAGCAGGAACACTTACCCCGTCATCCGAACCAGATCAAACACCAGCATCTACACTTCGAAGCAGCACAGGCTTGGAGGCTCAGGCTCGGCCCAAGCCTGCCACAGCCCTGGTGGTGGATGCAGGTGTGGTGCCTGTGGCTACTGTACCCCTGGCTGCAGCTGTTTTGTCTGATGTGGGGGAGGTGGATCAGGTGGAGGGTGACTTGGAGGAGGAAGGAGAGGGGGAGGCAGCAGGGGGCGTTCAGGAAAATCCAGTTTCTCGGCTTGCTAAGATACAGCTACCTAATGGAAAGGTGATTTTGGAGGGGCATCCAGCATTGAGGGTAGAAGATGGGAAGTTGTTAACCTCTGTGGTGGTTAGTTCGGAGAATTCTGGAAACACTCTTCTTGTCGCGTCGAGTTTTTCCCTGCCTGCCCGAGATTCGCTCGTGGCTGCCCGGAGCGGGCCGCAGGGGAAGCGATGGGCGGCGAACGTTCGTCTTTTTGCGCGGGTGAAGGATACTTGGTGGAATTCCCCTGGGCATGGGGACTGGAGCACCGTTTTGGAGGAATACTCGTTATGCAGTGATGGGATATACCATAAAGTGGACCAATTCGGCCGTGCGCAATCCACTTTTATACAGCTTTTAGAACTTTCTGACGAAGAGAGTGTAGATTATGAAACCACTGTAGCAGTGGCGCTTATAGAGGGGTTAGCTGCAGCAGGAATAGGAGGGTTGGGGGAGGGGGAGAGTGGGGAGGAGGAGAGGTGGGGGGGAGAGGAGGGGAGTGAGGAGGAGAGGATGGATGGAGGGAGAGGGATGTGGAAATGGGGCCTTGGGAGGATATGGGGGTGGACAAGAGGAGTGGAGGAGAGGGAATTGGTGGCAAGGGAGCGAGAGAGGGAGCAAGTGAGGGAGCGAGAAAGGGAGCGAGAGAGGGAGCGAGAGGGGGAGAGGAGGATGGATGGTGTAGATGGTGGTGGCGTCGAACCATGGGTGGCATTTCCACCCAGCACTATTGCTGCTACTGCTGCTGATGCCACGACTAGCGTGGGTGGAGACAGTAACATGGCCAGTGGTGGCATTAGCAGCTCGAGTGGTAACAGCGGGGTTGACGGGAAGGAGGCGCCACTCTCGTCTGCTGCACGAATAAACAACAAGGTGGGCTTTAAGTCTTATTGATTCCTTGTTCTCTCGAACCTCACATCAAGTATAATGTGGGTTTTGGAGTCTATTTTTTTCTTGCTCTCTCCAACCTCACATCAACGACAAGGTGGGCTTAAAGCCTGCCTCTTTCTTTGACATTTTCTAGTTCATCTCTGCGTTGTCCAATGCCTGCTATCCCTGTTATCCTTTCCCGTTTCTTGTGATTGTCCCGGACCTATCTCACAGGTTCGGCTTCTCCGGTCCATGCTGCAATGGGAGCGGGAGGTTCGGCACGAGGCAGCACCGGATGGCACCCTGGCTGGTCTGGGCATAGATAGCAGCGGTAGCAGCAGCAGCTTTGGCAGCAGTGGTGGTGGCAGCAGCGGCAGTGGCAGCAGTGGAGGGGAGGGGGATGAGATGGGAGGGGAGCGGGATGGGACAGGACAAGACGGCCTAGTAGACGCTGTTGCTCTCAGCGAAGTTCTCGTTATAAGCTGGCCTGGTAAGAATCTGTTACGAGTCAACATGGTCGTTGATTGAACTTAGTGCATGAACCCCATGCCATGCCACCACTGCCACAAAGCATGGGATAGTGTGCATACCACCAGGCAACTTGGCTGGTATGTGATATTTCGCTCTCTATCAGCTTCTCCAATCCACTAATCCTCCCTTGCCTGTTCCTACAGGTGGTGAGATAGTGCGCTTACCAGCTGGCAGTCTGGCAGGTGATTTCGCCCGCCTGCGAGCCAAGGCAGCCACAGGGGATGCAGCAGCAGCGGCTGCAGTCATCTCATCTGACGGGCTGCGCCTCTCCCTCTCCCCCACCACCGCCACTCCCTCTGCCTCGGGCTCTCGAGCCGTTAGTGGTTCCCGGGGCTATGGAGACGTTTCCAGTGCGGTGCTGTGCCCGGCAGAGGAGTCTATCTTTGTGAACGGGAAGCGTGTTGATCCGAGCACACGGCTCAGGGATGGGGATCTGGTGGAGGTGCGCTGTGTTGAGGACCTGTAGGGAGACGGGTTAGGTTTATGATGGAAGTGAGGTTGCTGGGGGTGGGTTCAATTGAAGAAGCATGTGTATCCCAGCACACGGCTTAGGGATGGGGATTTGTTGGGCGTTCAGTGTGTGGGGGAGCTGTGAATGGTGGAGGAAAGTGGGTGTCCAGTGTGTGGAGGTAGATATAGGGAGAAGGGTAGATAGAGATGCTTCTGTAGCATGGCACTGTTGCAGTTGTGGATGTAAGACCACAACAAGGGACTTACTCAACGGGCTGCATTTCTTTCCGATAGGTAGTTGCTCTTTGCTTCAAAGAGTCGCGACAACTGTACAGTGTCTCGTTGAAAGGCCACCGGTCTACTAGTACGGCTGGTGCTTGTGTCTTTTTCTGTACATTTTTTACTCTCTTGGATTCAACAATGAGAAATCAAGCTGATCGGAATTTGAACAAGTTGGACAGTTGTTTGTAGGACTGATTGAACTACCGTAATCCCCCGTATATAGGACCCCCCCCAGTTGTAGACCCCCGGGTCTATAATACGGACCCAGGTACTCTATTCGAGTACATCTGAGTTATACCCCCTAAATGGCTCATAACATTATAAGACCCCCCAAATACTAGAGAAGTGCGGATTTTACAAAAAAATGCAATTGAAAATGGTAACGAATTTCGAATTTCAAATGAGTCAACACCCATTTTCAATGTGTTTGACTTTTGAAGGCTTCACTTGTTGCGCGTCCAGTCAGGATGAGCTGGCACGCGGGCAAAGTGACGTGCCAAATCTCTGTGCACAGTCAGGGTAACGCCCTCGCGCGATTCTGATTCAGGACGCTGTAAAAGTTCGATTCGATTGAACTTACGAGACTGAAATGTACAACATCGTGCATTCTTATAAATGTCAATGTGAACAGACCCGGGTCTTCTAAAAAAATACCATTTAATTATACCCCCCAGCCTTTTTAGGGGTGATTATCAGAATACCCTAGGGTCTTATATACGGGGGATTACGGTAGTAGTGACCCATTCATGATTGGTATCTACACTACCGTATTTCATTTTTATTAAATTTCTGTAATGATGAGCCGCCTGTTGGCTTTCTCGCTGCAGCCAAAATAGGTTGGAATCTTTTTGCAGCTTTCGAGCGAATATTCCCCTAGGTGATGTCTTCCCGCCAAAACAAGCTCCCCTGAAACTTGCCTTGAGAATATTTGCTCCTAGGCGCCACGGTCCACGTCACGTCAGCCCCACCTTTCGTCAGACTGACGAGAACCAGTAAGAAAGGGCTGGTGCTCTTTGATCACGCGTCGCGAAATCTCGAGGCTTCTTCACATGATGGATTTGCCTGTCTGCCACCCGCAACCCCTGCTGTCAACGCTCGATCTAGCAATACGAGCCACAGAATCCCGTTCATACAGGCTTCTAAGAGACTTGCTAGAGCCTGGTATTTTAGTTCCTCGATCATTTTGCCCTCCCGTTTCCTCGTCTTTCTTCCATCGCTCCTCGTCGCCCTGCTCCTCTGTAGTTCCTTCGTGCATTTCTGAAGCTAACTGGTGCTTCTACGCAAGCAGCAGTGAATGAGGTTTCTTGGATCGTTCATGCGATTCGCCATGGATACCAGGATTTTCTCGATCTCCTCCGTCCTCAGGATGCTAGCTTGGTTTATGTTGGCAGTGTTACCGTTCGCTTCTTACACCAGAAGCGAGGAACTCTTTAACGAAGCCAAACCCGCAAATCAGAGCCTGATATCTTTCCCGAAGGAAGCGCTGCCTACTGCATCAGGTTACCTGATCGTTAACGAAACGACGGGAGCGAAGATGTACTTCGCATTCTACGAGGCGATGGAGCCCGAAACGGCTCAATCCGAAACGCCAATCATTCTTTGGCTTCAAGGCGGCCCCGGTTGTTCCAGCATGATCGGGAATTTCTACGAACTCGGCCCTTATCGAATTACCGAATCGCTCGATATCGAGCCCAACCCCGCTCCCTGGAACCGTCGCTACGGTGTCCTCTTTATAGACAACCCCGTTGGTACGGGTTTTAGCGTGGCTCCTTCAGATGCGGATATTCCTCTGGATCAGGATGACGTGGCTAGGGATCTGTACACCGCGCTCCGATCATTCTTCGACCTTTTCCCGCCGTTTCGCCAGAGGCCGTTCTTTCTGGCAGGGGAGAGTTACGCTGGAAAGTATGTCCCCGCTTTAGGCTCCCTGCTTGTTGGGAAACTGGACATGGCGCAGCAGCAGTTACGACAGCGTCTGAAATTCAAACGCGACGGCGAGGGCGGATACAGGCATCCGTTCCGGCTGGATGGGGTTATTATCGGTAACGGGTTGACGCATCCGCGTACGCAGGTGCAGGCGCATGCTGATATCGCGTACAGCGCTGGGTTGCTGGATCAGCAGCAGCGGGATAGGGCCAAGGAGTGGGCGAATCGCGTAGTGGCGCGTATTGATAAGGAGGAATGGCAGGAGGCTTTTCAAGAGCGGACGAACCTCGTCAACTGGATTCAGGTAGGGAGAGAGATTCATGTAGGGAGAGAGATTCATTTAGGGAGAGAGATTCATGTAGGGAGAGAGATTCATGTAGGGAGAGAGATTCATGTAGGGAGAGAGATTCATGTAGGGAGAGAGATTCATGTAGGGAGAGAGATTCATGTAGGGAGAGAGATTCATGTAGGGAGAGAGATTCATGTAGGGAGAGAGATTCATGTAGGGAGAGAGATTCATGTAGGGAGAGAGATTCATGTAGGGAGAGAGATTCATGTAGGGAGAGAGATTCATGTAGGGAGAGAGATTCATGTAGGGAGAGAGATTCATGTAGGGAGAGAGATTCATGTAGGGAGAGAGATTCATGTAGGGAGAGAGATTCATGCAGGGAGAGAGATTCATGCAGGGAGAGAGATTCATGCAGGGAGAGAGATTCATGCAGGGAGAGAGATTCATGCAGGGAGAGAGATTCATGCAGGGAGAGAGATTCATGCAGGGAGAGAGATTCATGCAGGGAGAGAGATTCATGCAGGGAGAGAGATTCATGCAGGGAGAGAGATTCATGCAGGGAGAGAGATTCATGCAGGGAGAGAGATTCATGCAGGGAGAGAGATTCATGCAGGGAGAGAGATTCATGCAGGGAGAGAGATTCATGCAGGGAGAGAGATTCATGTAGGGAGAGAGATTCATGTAGGGAGAGAGATTCATGTAGGGAGAGAGATTCATGTAGGGAGAGAGATTCATGTAGGGGGAGAAAGTCAGGTAGGGAGAAAGGATGGCAGGAGGCTTTGCAAGATGGAGGAATATCGTCAACTGGATTCAGGTCGAGTGAAGTTTTCTTTGCTAAAGTTTTGAGCAGGTTTTAACTTTAAAACCCGAACCTGAAACCTCAATTGTAAAAACACCCCCTCCTCCCCCCTTCCTTTCAAACACCCCCCCCCCCCCCCCTCCCCTCCCCCTCCCCCCCCCCCTTCCTTCTTTCCCTGCAACAAGGGGGGAAAAGAGGGCGGGTGTAGCGGTAAAAATTGGAAGCTTTATTGCAGTAAAGAGGCCATACTAAACTCCTCCCTCACCCATCGCTGGCTATTCTTAACATCTCTCGCCTCTGGGATTCAGGAGTTTTTATTATATTCCCACCCCCATCCCCGCTCCCCGTTCCCCTCGTTGGTGCCCTCCCTCTCACCCCTCATTCACAGAACGTGAGTGGCATTGCAACGCCCTTGGACATCCGAAGAAACCGCGCCTACCACCACAACAAGGACAAGCAGGAATACCTCGCTCTATACCTCAACCGCCCGGAGATTAAAGACGTCCTTAAAGCCGACGCGGTGACCACCTGGGTTTCCTGCAGCCCTCGCGTGCGCAAGCATATGTCTAACGACACTATGAAATCTACTATGCATCTAGTAGAAGGCCTCTTAAACCGCGTCCCGATGCTGCTATATCAGGGGATATACGACATTAAAGACGGCGCCGCGTGCTCACTGGAGTGGATGGGGGAGTTGCAGTGGAAGGGTATGGAGCGGTTCTGGGCGGTGGAGAGGCAATTGTGGGAGGTGGAGGGGGAGGTGGCGGGGTACTGGCGGGAGCATGACATGTTGACTCATGTGGTGCTGCATGGGGCGGGGCATGAAGTGCCTGCTGACCAGCCTCTGAACTCGCAGGTGAGCTGCTAATAGACGTTGTGAGGCACCTTATAAAGAGGACAGAGAGGTTGTGGGGAATGGCGGGAGCATGACATGTTTACCCATGTGGTGTTGCATGGACTGGGGCATGATGCTCCTGCTGACCAACCTTTGAACTCCCAGGTGAGTTACTAGTAACTGTCCTGAGGCGTCTTATAACGAGTACAGTGCCAGTGAGAATTATGATCATGAAATGCTGACTCACGCTGTACTACATGGGGCAAGGCATGAGGTGCCTGCAGGCCAGCCTGCCTCTAGTCAGTGCAGGCCCACCAAGCTTTGGCTGAGTGTACAAGGGGAGCATGACATGTTGACGCAAAAGGAGGCAAACTCCCAGCGAGCTGCTAATAACTGTTTTGAAGCACTTTATGAAGATGACAGGGAGGTGGCAGGGGACTGGTGGGATGGATGGACTTCTGGGTTCTGATTCGACTCAAAAATTGGGTTCTGAGTCGACTAAAAAATTGGGTTTTGAGGCGTGGGCCACGGCCAGCAAGATCGAGTTTATCACGGTGGAGGTGTTATCTGATTGCAGCTTCACGAAGGCTTAATCTGAGCAGGTTCTACCCAACAAGCATCCTGCTCCTTCGTCCCGGCCCTCCCTCCCTTCCGCCCTCAGCAACGTGGCAGCAAGCACCTTGCCACTGCCGACCAAGCTTTTCCTCCCTCCTCTCAACCGTCCCCTCCCCTCTCCCCTGGCCCTCCTCCCCCCTTGCAGCGCATGATAGAAACGTGGATCAGCAAGCAGGTTGCCACGGCCACCGAGTTCCAGCTCCTTACTCCTCTGTTCACTCCGTTAGACCCTCCCCCCTTGCCCCAATCCTCTCTCCCACCTCTTCCCCCCTTGCAGCGCATGATAGAAACGTGGATGAGCAAGCAGGTTGCCACGGCCAGGAAACTCGAGTTTGTAATGGGGGAGGTGTTATCTGATGGCGATCACGACGAGGCGCAAGGGGAGGGTGCGGAGGAGGTGACGGGGGAGGAGGAGGAGGGGGGAAAGGGAGGGGATGATTACGCAGGGGCAATGATGGCGGATATCATGTCGGGGTTTGTAGAGGAGATGGAGAAGAGAGGGGTGGATTGGAGCAAAGTGGGTCCCAATGGGGAGGGGTTTGAGTTTGAGGGTTTTGAACCCGAGTGGTTTGAACATCTGAACAGTGAGATGGTGGAGGGGGAAGGAGGGGGGGACGGGGGTGAGGAGGGTGAGGGGGAGGACGAGGGGGGAGAGGGTGGGGAAGAGAGTGATGCGATGGAGGGGGTAGAGGGGGTGGAGGGGGAGGGGGAGGTAGGGGTGGATGGGGAAGGGGGGGTAGGGGTGGAGGGGGAGGGGGAAGTGGAGCTGGAAGGGGTGAAGGCGAGCGAAGAGGAAGTGCGGGATTTGTGATTGGCAAAGATATGGCTCACACGATTGTGGTGTAGGGAATGGGGATTCTTGGAAAAGATGTCTGTCACGCATGAATGTGACTTAACATACATGACTGACGTTACACACAGGGCCTATGTTTGGTTTTTGGCTACTCAAGATTAGCAGTGTAGCCTTTTTCAAAACCCTTCTGATCGGTGTGTAAATTTTCGTTACACTGATACATCAGTGTAACATTGAGTTTCAGAAATTTTACCCCAGAGCATCAGTGAAGTATTTTTGTGTACCCTTATCGCAAATACATATTGACTAAGTTCAGGCAGCATCACTGTACGTGATGCCAAGATTCCTTTCCTTGGCGTGCTGGATACTGAAACATAAAAACGTGACCAATTAGACACATGACTACTGCCAACGCACTTACTGCAGGGAAGGCCGCTTCGGTGCTTGCGTGATTGATGGAAATCACGCTCCGGCAGATTTCGGGAGTGGAGGGGGGGGGTGGGGGGGGGGGGGGGGGGGGGGGGGGGGGGGAGGGGGGGTGCCCTGTACGCCCTTAAGGGTAATCTTCGCTAAGGGAAAATTTACTCCAGAGCATCGGTGTGGTCTAAATCGTTTCACTGTCAAATCAGTGTAACATTAATCCCCAAAAAAATTACCCAAACACATCAGTGCAAGCCCAAAAAAACACCCTTCTCATCAGTATAGCAGTGTGATTTACACTGATAAAATAGGCCCTAGTTACACACATGACTGACATTGAATACATACGGTAGGCCTCAGGGCTCCTCCTTGGTTACCATACGGGTGCAACACACAACTACTTTGCTGAGACATCTTATGCTAACGTAATTGAAGGAAAGCGATCCCAGGGATGAGAATGTTGGGAAATTGCGATTGGCAAATTTGTGAACGAGAGTCTTTCTTGTCCCTGCGAAAGAGCATTGCTCTCGAAGGGTTCTCATTGCATCAGAAGCGCCCAATGCAAAGCAGCGACAAGAGCTTTCACTGTACACTAAGGAAGAACGCTCGTGTCGGCATTAGGACATTGCAGCTGTCAAGAAACTGAACGAGAATGAATGCATTGAGCAGAAAGTTGGTACAAGTACTAACCCTAATTGGGTTGTACCCAGGGCCTATGTTTGGTTTTTGGCTACTCACGATTAGCAGTGTAGCCTTTTTCAAAACCCTTCTGAACAGTGTGTAAATTTTCGTTATGCAGTGTTGGCCCGACTGGCCGCGTAAGCAAGACGAAGCTGACCACGCTGCTGCAGCTCTTGAGCAAGGAAGTAACGCAGAGCGATGTGCTTCGTCCTGTGCTCCGGTCTGTGCTCCTGACACAAGGCAATCATGGCCTTGTTGTCTACGTACAGAACTAGAGGAGAACGAGGCCGCTCTCCCAAGTCGGTCAGCAGGCAGATGAGCCAGCGTAACTCGTGTGCAGCCATGGCCCCTGCGTAGATCTCAGCCTCACAACTGGAACAGAGAACAGAAGACGATCGGGTAGACTGCCAAGAAACAGAGCCGGATCCAAGGCTGAAAGTGTAACCCTGTGACAACCGCTGCGTAGCCAAGTCGTCAACCCAAGACGCGTCCGCGTCTCCAGTGAGGACAACTGGATCCCGTCCTCCAAGCACGAGCCCCATGCCTGATGTACCCCACAAGTAGCGCAACACCCTCTTAGCGGCCTCCCAAAGCTCTGGTCGGTGTCTCTTGGGCGCAACGTAGCGTGCCAGGATGCTAAGAGGGTAGGCAAGGTCAGGTCGGGTGCAGGTCATCAGGTACATGAGGCAGCCCACAAGCTCTGGATACGGGCCACTCGGCTCTACGGACTCGTTCGAAGGTGGAGCTGAGAGCGAGTGACCAATAGGCAGAGGAGTGGACTGTGGCGAGGAGTACCAGAAGCCGAAGCGCTGAAGGACCTGGTGCACCATCTGTGACTGAGTCAGGGTGATGGTGCGCCGTGCTCTGTCCCGGGTGATCTACAAGCCAAGATAGCTGCGCAGCTCACCCAGGTCAGTGCAGGTGTGTCTCTTCTGCAGCTCCGACTTCACAAGGGCCAGTGCCTCAGTGTTAGCAGTGGCAAAAACCAAGTCGTCGACGTAGACGAGGACGTAGAACGGCGGCAGCGAAGCGTCGGTGCGCAGAAACAGCGACGGGTCAGCAGTCGAAGGAGCAAACCCAAGAGCCGCAAGCCTCGTCCTCAGTGTGTCGTGCAACTTGCGAGGCGCCTGGCGGAGACCGTAGACTGGCCGCCGGAGGCTCCACTGGGTACCCGCAGGAAACGACCCAGTGAAGCCAAGTGGGCGGCGCAGCCAGATCTCCTCGTGCAGGCTGCCCTGTAAGAAAGCAGTGCTGAAGTCAAGAGAGTGAAGCTCGTAGTCACGCTGAGCGGCGACGTGCAGCAGCACCCGAAGAGTGGTCATCTTTGGGGTAGGGGAGAAGGTATGGAAGAAGTCAACTCCCTGTCACTGACTAAAGCCTCGTGCAACGTAACGAGCTTTGAAGACAGGCGGAGAACCCGGCGGCCGCTTCACCCTAAAAATCCACATGCCATCGACTATGTTCGCCCCAGAAGGGGGAACTGCGTCGACGTAGGTGCCTGTGGACTTCCAGGATGCCATCTCTGCGTCCATGGCTGTCTGCCACTGAGAGGAGTAGGGACCCGTAATCGCCTCTGCGTAAGAGCGCGGGGTCGGGATGTCTGGTGCATCCGGGTCTCCCTCAGGTGCAAGCAGCATGGCCACGAGATGAGGTACAACAGCTGCAAGACACTCAAAGTCCTCCTGCCTGTCCTCAAGGACGTCCGTGCCAAGAGCACACTCACCCCCGACGGACGGAGGACAGTCAGACTCAGACTCAGCAACAAGGCTAGCGGCGTAGCCGAAACGACAGGCGGAAGCAAAGTCAACAAGCCCAGCAACTAGGGCAGACGCAGCAGCGGACTCAAATGAAGGGTCAGTGACAACAGTGGCTAGAAGACGTGGGATAGTAGGACTCGCAGCACGAACTAATTCAGACTCAGGGTCCGGACCGTCCGGAAGAGAGGACGCAGGAGGAGACGGCAGGGGAACTTGCAGTGGAACAGAGGAAGGACGAAGTGCCATAATGTGAGTGCCGGGGACAGGAGGAGGACGCGGACGAGGAACACGACGACCAGTGCAAATAGCGCGAACAGGCGAGGCAGGACGAAACTCAGGCTCACGACGCTCTTTAAGAGAGTCTGTCTGCTCAGCGTAAGGAGAAGGAGCAGGCAGTGGGGAGTTTGGCTGTAACTGTGGCTGCGACTGGTGAGGCGGTGGACACAGCAAGCTAGGAGTAAGGCTAGTAGAACACAGGAGACTAAGAACCTGGCGAAGGACCGAGCCAGGTGGCGGCAGAGACGACGGTGGCGGCGGAACAAAAAAACGGTCGCCGCTGCACAGTGCCTCCAGCACCAGTACCGCCCGCTCCAGCACCCCCAGCGCCAGCACCTCCAGCTCCAGGGTCTCCATCTCCAGCGCCTCCAGCTCCAGGGTCTCCAGCTCCAGTGCCTCCAGCTCCAGCGCCTCCAGCTCCAGGGCCTCCAGCTCTAGTGCCTCCAGCTCCAGTGTCTCCAGCGCCAGCACCTCCAGCTCCAGGGTCTCCAGCTCCAGCGCCTCCAGCTCCAGGGTCTCCAGCTCCAGTGCCTCCAGCTCCAACGCCTCCAGCTCCAGCACCTCCAGCTCCAGGGTCTCCAGCTCCAGTGCCTCCAGCTCCAGGGTCTCCAGCTCCAGTGCCTCCAGCTCCAAGGTCTCCAGCTCCAGTGCCTCCAACACCACCAGCTCCGGCAGCTCCAGTACCTCTAGTACGAGCACCTCCAGGACCAGCAGCTCCAGCACCTCCGGTACCTCCAGCTCCAGCAGTAACTCCAGCACCTCCAGGACTAGTAGCTCCAGCACCTCCAGCTCCAGTGCCTCCAGCGGCAGGGCCTCCAGCTCATGCAGCGCCACTCCTAAGGCGTGTGTGCCAAACAAACCACTCGCGCAACTACCGCGGTGAGAGAGGCTCCCGCCGGCGAGACTGTTGTGGCGAGGCACCCGCAGTACCTCCGGCAGACGCAGTACCCCTAGGCTCAGCACCCCCAGACTCTGCACCCTCAGACTCAGCACCGCCAAGCTCCGCACCCTCAGTCTTTGTACCCCCAGGCTCCGCACCCTCAGGCTCAGCACCCCCAGGCTACGCACTCGCAGGCTCAGCACCCCCAGGCTCCGCACCCGTAGGCTCAGCACCCCCAGACACAGCACCTCTAGCAGCACCACCCCCAGCAGCACCAGAGTCTACAGTGACCTCGACAGGCTCAGCCAGGGGGAGTGGGTCTACCTGAGACACACCTGAGGGAGTAGGACCCCGAGGGGGGAGGGGGTCTACCGGAGGGGGACCTGGAGCGAGGAAGAGCGGCGGGGGGGGGAGAGGGGCCATGTGGTAGGGGATGAGACGGTAAAAGGGAATCGACTTGTCAAACGTGACGTCATGAGAAGACATGACACAACGCGATGTGGGGTGGTAAAATTGCTAGTCAGGCGCGTCAGGGGGAAAGCCAAGGAAGACGCAGGGAATAGCGCGGGCGGAGAGCTTGTCCGCGGAAGTATCGCGGACAAAGGCACGAGAGCCCCAGACCCGGAACACCGACGCATCGCCAACCTTCCCCGTCCAACGCAGTGTAGGCGAGGTCTCCGGCAAGGAGACACGAGGCCAGAGGTTGAGCTGATGTGCAGCGTACCGGACCGCAAACGGCCATAGAAAATGGGGAGCAGCCATATGGATCATGGAGGTACGAGCCATTTCCATGACTAAGCCTATGCAGCGCTCAGCAACCCCATTTTGCTGCGGGGAGGCCGGAAGCGTGAACGACTGGAGGATGCCCTCCCCACGACAAAAGTCCCGCAAGAGGTCAGAGGAGAACTCACCACCTCTGTCAGAGTGCAGACGCAGGACAGGAAGGTCCTCACGGAACCGCTCACGGAGCTGGAGACGGACTGCGCGGATCCAAGTGATCAAGA